AAACTCGATATGATCACAGCCACCGCAGCCATTGCTTGTATCTCCACCCTCCTCATGGGTCTATTCGCCAACCTCCCTATCGGTCTCGCCCCCGGCATGGGTCTCAACGCCTACTTTACATACACCGTCGTCGGGTTTCATGGAGGCAACAAGATCAAGTACGAGACCGCCCTCGCCGCCGTCTTTGTCGAGGGCTTGCTTTTCATTCTCTTGTCCTTCTTTGGTGTTCGACAATGGCTTGCTCGGTTGATCCCTCAGAGTATCAAAATTGCTTCCGGTGCTGGTATTGGACTGTACCTGTGCTTTATTGGAATGCAGACCTCGGCCGGTATTGGACTCATTGGTGCAGACGCCGCGACGCTGGTTCATCTCGATGGATGTGATAGAGATGCCACGGGTGTCTGTATTGACGGAACCCATATGCGGAGTCCGACCACCTGGATGGGCATCTTTGGATTCATCCTCATCTCCATCCTCCTCACTCTCCGCGTCAAGGGCTCGGTCCTCTACGGCATTCTTGCCGTCTCGATCCTCTCCTGGATCCGCGGAACCAACTTTACCTACTTCCCTTACACCCCCGCCGGTGAGGCCTCATTCGACTACTTCAAGAAGGTCGTCACCTTCCACCCCATCCAGATGACATTCGCGAAGATGAACTTTGACCTTAACAACCACGAGATCTGGATCGCGCTTATCACCTTCCTCTACGTCGACATCATGGACACCACCGGTACCCTGTACTCCATGGCCAAGTTCGGAGGATATATGTACAGGAATGGCGACTTTGACGGTTCAACCGCCGCCTTCTTGTGCGACGCATCTTCCATCACTATTGGCGCTCTCTTTGGAGTGCCCCCCGTCACAGCCTACATCGAATCCGGAGCCGGTATCACAGAGGGCGGCCGCACAGGTCTGACCTCGATCTTCACCGCCTTCTCTTCTTCGTCTCTCTCTTCTTCTCTCCCATTTTCGCATCCTTCCCTCCCTGGGCCACCGGCCCTGCCCTCATCGTCGTCGGATCCATGATGGCCAAATCCGTTCAATCCATCAACTGGAACTACGTTGGTGACGCCATCCCAGCCTTCTTGACCATCGCCCTCATGCCCCTCTCATACTCCATCTCCTACGGCCTCATCGCCGGTATCGGCACCTACGCCGCCATCAACGGATCCATCTACGTTCTCGAACTCATCTCTGGCGGTCGCATCACCCCTCGGACAAGGACCTAAAGGAGCATTGGAATAATGAAGGCTTCACCGTCGAGAATGTCTTGCCCGCATGGATGCAGATCATTATCTGCAAGATCAATGGAACCACATATGTCGATCCTTTGGATAAGATGGACGAAGAGGATCGTTTGGAGCGGGAGCTCGCTGCGCGTGCGGATGCGGTCGATGCCAAGATCGAGATTGATACCCATGGCGCTCAACTTGCCCCTGCACCCGTTGAGCACTAAGCCATTACACCATCACCATTTAGCTTTAATATTATTGCATTAATACAAAAGAAGGTAGCTTGAAGTACAAAAATATGTTATGAAGAAGTGGTACTTTTTTATGCAAATGTGTCTTTTTGGTCAAGGAGAGGGAGGGAACTGTGATGTATACTGCTGAGCAGGAGTATCGAATCAAGATCAGGACAGAAAGGTTGGTGGCCTACCTGCAAGGTGATCAACCTTTTTTTGTAGAACATCAATCTTCTTTGGTTAAAAGAGGAGTGGTAAAAGACCCACATATCATCGCCTCTCTTTTTAAATATCGATATCGCCACCCCGCGACTACAAGCAAACGAGCGTGTTCTTCTTCGTCGCAATGTATTGTTGTTGGTGCATCGTCATGTCTCCACGTACCGCTGTCTTGGTGGCTTTTTATAGTTTTTTGATGAGCGGACTTGACGAACAAGTTGCTTGGTTTGAACGAGACAAAACGGACTGAGGGTGAAGTGTGTCGACTTGACGTGGTGAACGTACTGCTGGGTGCGATGGGTTTTTGGTTGGTTGATATTACTAGAAATTGACAGCTGCTGACAGTTGTGCGGTTGTTGAGTAGGTGTCCTGGACAACAAGGATTAGGTGAAGCATCTCACAGTTGATTGTAGTGACCGATGAAGAAGACTTTTAGGAGCGACTGAGAAACTGTTGACGATTGTTATCACAGGACGACCGGGGCAATTGTGGTTGAGGGTGTTATATTGTGGGGCTCAAAAGTGAAGTGACGCTGATGGGTGTATGGATGTGATGGAGCAAAGGAACGGCGCGAGGAGTAGCTGAATGAGAGAGGGAAGTCTAAAATACCAATGGTGATGGTGCGTGTGAAAAAATAAATTGCTTTATTCCCATGTCGATAGACCCCTTCCTGACATGGCAACGCACGGTGCTCTCAAACTTACTCTTTTTTTCTTTCTTCCAGGCTTGACTGGCGCGAGGAGAATCCGTTTGCATGAGCAACGGACGTCAAACGACAAACGACGATTGGAAGAGGCGACCAGGAATTCAGGTCTGCTCAAATTAAGATTGCAGGATACCACCAGTTTATTCGATGAGGGATGGTCACATTACGGGTTCAGATAACGTTATCGCGCACAGGACACCGCTTAGGTTCCAACGTCCCCGACCACCTTGCTGCTCTACTCAATTGCTAAACTCCTCTCGCTCCCTTAATCATTAACGTCCGATCAGGCTCCTTTAGATACCAAAGCATAGTGGACTGCGTTGAGAAAGCAAAGAAATTTTTGTTCTGATTAAGAAGAGACGTGTTGGTCATGGTCAACTAATGTACAAGTTGCACAGCCTGGATGACCATTTTGAATTTTATATCTTACACGGCGTAGATGCCTGGAAATTTCTTTTCAAAAATAAAAAATAAAAAGAAGTAACAAAAAAAAACTCTAATTGAACTGAATAGATTAGAAACCCGACATAAGAGCCGATCTCGCTCTTATGTCAAGGGCGTGGTGTACTATGGCGTATCATTTTTTGTTGCTTGCTGACATTACAAAGATGAAAGTCAACTGAAATTAAAATCAAAACAACAATGCCATTCTTTCTTGACATTGCTGTCTCCCCCCCCCACTGCGCGCTATCTATAAACCCACTCTTCACTTTCACTTTCACTTTCACTTTCTTTTCTTCCTCAGTTCTCCTCCCCTACAGTCCCCCGTCTCTTCTTCTAATCTGACAACGTCCCTTGATACACCTTCACAGACAACTCAAATTGCCAACAACAAAACAAAAAGAAACATGGCCGCATACACCCCAAACACCCATGTCCAGCTGGCAGGATCGATCCTCAGGGACGAATACGATAGCATCAACCGCAAGATCACCAACCTTCAAGGAGCCCACCTGGCCGCTCTGCGTACCCTCAGCCCTTTACCGGAAGACCCACCCCTTCTCAGTTCCCCTAGCGGATATCTTCGGCCGCCTTCGCTCAAGGGCGGGCAATTGTGATTCTACGAGATAGCCTCTATCTGGCTCAGCTGCCAGGATGACTTGAAAGGGTATTGTCAAAATCTGGAACAGGCTATCAAGGCTTTGGAGGCAATGAAGATGGATATTGTCAAGGGTCTCGCCAGCAGGACTACCCATTAGCGTGTCTGTGTAGTAGAAACTCCCTTTCTGTTTATCGTTTGGTGGCAAAAACCCCCTTAATCCAAAATAAATGGCCTCTGTGTCCCGGTTTCCACGGTGCGATCCTTTTTCCTACTTTTTGCCCAGCAAACGGACAAATGCAAAAAAAATGAATCCAAACGCCACCATCATCAACAACAACAATGGCACTGATGCCAACCCGTCCACAGGAGCAGGACAAGCCGGAACTGGGCCTCACACACCGACAGCCACAGCCCGACGGCGACCGCACCAACACCTGCAACTCCGACAGCAGCTGCAAGTCCGATCCCGAACAACTACAACTCGTTCTGAGTCCAGCCTCAGCCTTTGGAGAATCGATCCTGCAAAGATCCGAATAACGAGCGTCTCTCCAGGTCATCTTCCCCCGGTCGTCCTCTGCTCGCTTTGCTGCCATCGACACCCTTCCCCTACCTACCTTTCAATTCTGCTTCTCAAGTGGCACCAAGCCGCCGGCAGGACAGTTATGAGGCACTGGTGATCTGGGGCGCAGTACCGGAAATGATATATGGAGGGTTTGGAGGATGCTCTTACGATGAAGATCCAGATTCTTGAGGATCAGCGGAGTATCCTTGTCAACCGCATCTTTGTCGCCGGTACGACGCTTGAATGCCAGATCGATATATTTTTTTTCTCTTTGAATATTCTTTGTTTGCTAAAAGGCCGTGATTAAGATTTTTGAGTAGCACAGCTCTTTTCTTTTTCTTGTACTTCTTTTAACTTCTAACTTGATTTCCATCACACCAACATACACATGCAAGCAAAATAAACCACTCGCAGCGTGATCGTGATCGTCACCATCAATCAATGTGTGAATATCAACTCAAACGAAACATCACATCCACAGCTTTAGCTTGAGTTTTTTCATCCTGTTTGTTCCTTGGTCACCAAATTCTTTTCCCCCTCTTTCTTTTCTTCTTCCCTCTCCCTCACTCCTCCATCAACCATAACGCAGGTCAAGATGAGGCTCTTTGTCAACCACCACCAATGCCACAGCAAGTGACTCCAACGCTGACAACTCCCAATGCCGGACCTCTCTTTACTCGGCAGGACCAACACCAACTAGGCGGCTGAATCCTCTTCGCATGGGCTGCGCTTCATAGCGACGCCTGTAGGAATTTGATTCCTATATACCTTTATTATTTTCCTTCTCTTGCTTCGTTTGCGTTCGCTTTCATTTGTTCTGACGGGGGTATTCATAAACGGTAAGAAGAAAAAAGAGAGAAGAAAGGACTACATCCAATAATCAAGAACGACGAAGCGATGAGCGAGTTTATATGTACAAGCAAAAGAGAGAGAGAGAGGGGGAGGAGGAAGTTGACGGTTGTTGTCCTGTTCTTGAACTCGACGGTAGATGTGCGGTGTCGAGGAGTTATCTGATGCGTGTCAGGGATGAAATCGATTTGCCATGGAGGAACCCACCTCCAGTTCCGCCATCTCCACCGCAATCGCCATCATCCTCCAACAGCCCACCACTGCCACTACCAGCAGAACCCGACAACGACAGCTTCGCCCTCTTACTGCTACCCTTGCCATCCTTGGGCTGCTTCTCAAACAACTTCCAAAACTTCAAATTCTCGTCGTTCGCAACCGTCGCCACAGTCTGTCCATCAGGCGAGACTGCAGAATGCAACACTCTCGAGTCGTGAGCCGCTGGAATGTCCACCACCTTGCTCATCGAAGGGTAGCTGTACACTGACAGGTTGTTGTTCGGATAACCATGGGACGACATGAACTCCTTGTACTCTTTGGCCCAGATGATCGACGTGACCTGAGATCCCGCATTCAGTGTGTTCACGCGCGCACCCGATGTCGAGTTCCAAAAGTGGATCTGCTTGTCGTATGTCCCACCTCCTGATGCTAGCAAATTCAACTGCCACGGGCACCATGCCAACGCCTGCAAGCCATTGTGAAATAATTAACGACCGAGTTAGCGCTTTTGCTCAAGGATGAAATAAAAACAACTGCAGGCCATCAAAGGCACGAAAGAAAAGTACCTTGACGGCGGCGGTGTGATTGGTTTTAGGTGTACTTGGGGACGGTGGAGCGGGCATCCCAGATGTTGACAATGTTGTCGTTCGCACCACTGGCCAACTGCATTCCATCGCTTCTCCAAGTCAGCCCACAGACCTCGTTCGTATGGTTCGACAGCTCCGCAACCTTGTGGTTATGTACACGGACATCATGGTTCCAGATCGATCCATCTCTACATCCAGAGCTGACAATCTGCTTGTCCCATGCCAACACTCCAACACGCGCAGCATGTCCCGACATAGTTCGGAGCTTGGTCCTTGTCTCGACATCCCAAACTTGAACATCACCTTCAAAAGTTCCGACTTGCCAACGACGCGCCATCGTCTGCCCACGAGACGAGCGTGACCGAATCCAAGTTGCCCTTCAGCGTGACCAAAGACTCGACGTGTTCCCGATCGGCATTCCACACAAATACTGACTTGTCCAGTCCGATCGCCAGCTGATTCATACAAGACCACGACAACAGATTCAGGTAGTAATCATCCACCAAGCTAGGCGCGTCAAGGATTCTTTCGGGAGCTGGTCAAGATGGTCCTCTTCTTCAAACAACAAGTTCGAGTTTGGATCGCAGTGAAACTTGGGTGGCGACTGTACATTTGCCGAACCACAGACGATTCTCGATTGTCCAGCGAAGGGGCTTCGGCATTGAAGCACAAAATGCGGCTGTTGAGATCGAGACCACACGCCCTGGCAACCTCTTGGCTGTAAGCTGATCCATCCAATGGGTCGACAGGGGATATGGTGGTGAGTCGGTGCAGATGATCCTGAAAATGAAGATGCTCGGTGGAGTGTTGGGCCCTTGGCCATATCAATCATGACCTGCGCACTCGCCATATCAATCCTCCTGGGTATAAACCGGTTCTCCCTATTGATCGCATATTTTATTAGAATGAGAATTACAAAGTCACATAAGAACAACGACACGATAATCACATACACCAATAGCAAACAAAAGCAGCGTGATTTGTCCTTACCGGGTTGAAGGTGCGTTTACCCTTCTTAGGTGAAGCGTTGCTGCCGACACCAGTCGTTCTTGACAACCTCGAGCTTCTTGGTCGTCGTCAAGTTGCCACAGCTCACAGTGCGTGTCAAGCAAGAGTTTGCCTGTGCGGCCAGGGACTTTGTGCTGACAATTGACGAGCTGCTCGTACGAGAGAGACCGCCACCAGGTGTATCGTGGGCGTTGCGGTGATGTTGATGGTGTCTTTGCTGTTGGCGGTCTGTTGTTACTTGTCTGCGAACTCATAGCGACACTGCTTTTGCTGGAAGGGGTCCTGAGTCCTGAAGAGTCGTTGTTGGTTGCTGTAGATGATGATACGCTGAAGGGCGATGGTGAAGAGGGGATGTTGAATTGTGAAGAAGGGGTTGAAGGGAATAAGCCGACGCCTGCGCTGGTTCTTTTGCCGAGGGTTGACTTTGGGGTAGAGGGGACAGAAGAAGAGAAGAAAGAGGAGCGATTGTTGCTCTTGCTTGGGGTTTTTGGTGTTTCGATGCTGAAATGGTCGGTCGTGGTCGCGTTTGAGGTGGCAGAAGCATTGCCACCACCACCACCTCCTCCTCCTCCTCCTCCTCCTCCTCCTGTTGTTGTTGCTCCACTGCTATTGTTTCCAGCACTATTGCTGTTGAGTACTTTGGCGATGGATGGAGAGGACCCTAACAGCAGCGACGACTTGCCACCTCCAAATACTCCTGCAGTAGCTGAAGCAGAAAATCTTGACCCACCTGCACCTCCTGCACCACTTCTATTGCCACTGTTCGAAAACCCGCCTCTCGCAGCAGGCAGGCCCTTTCCGCTTTTGAGAGACTCCAAATGTCGTGAAAATCGAGCTGCCTCTTTTGACACCTGGGTCGATGCAGCCGACAACGCGATAGTGGCTGTGGACGTCGCAGTGGAGGTGGCGGCGGTTAATATTGTTGTTGTCGCTCCTAAGACTCCGCTACCGCTACTACCACTCATGCCACCCATCTTGCTTGCCTCCTCCTGCAGCGGCTTGAAGTGACGCAAGGAAATGGCTCTTCTTGACAGGCGAGCTTGGTGCTGATTTTCGAGCAGGCGATAGTTGGCTTCGTCGCAATGCGGCAGTTGGAGACTGGTGTAGATTGGTACCCACCGAGGATCTCTTCATGTCTGGTGTGCTGAACGACATCTGTGCTGTTGTTAGGTGGTTGTTGCAAAAAGCAAGGTGGGCTTTGTGGATCGGAAGGGTGTGTGTCAGAGGTACAGATGGTTCACGCGTCGTTGTTAGGGGAATCCACAACCCAAAACGAACAAAGAGTAAGAGTAAGACGAGCTGTTTTCTAGGTGATTGTACGGGTTGGGAGTATGCTGTTGTGTATAAATCTTGAATGTGAATGTGTCCGCAATGCAAAATGGTTGATTTCTGTTCAAGGCTGCTTCCTCTCGGTTGTTGTCCTGTCCTGTTGAAGGTGTGATGTAGTAGCAAGAAGCAAGGTCGGTCGTTGCAAGGCGTTTTTTTTTGCAATGGCCTTCCAGGTAAACGAACAAGCTTGAAGGTCCCCTTAATATTATGTCTGCTTGGAACAGTTCTACACAAATAGGCCCTGCCTGTCCGTCGTTCAGTTCTTTCTTCACCTGGCTTCGACAAACGGATTTTGACATAATGGCCCTTCAGGAAATCAACCTACCAACATCGCCAACCACTGCTGATCAGATCAATTACAACCAATATCTCAACACTCACAGCTCTGTTTGGTCCCCCCACTGTGCACTCCTTCTTCGCAATCCTGACCTCTCCTTCTCTAACACCTCTTACGCAGAACAAGGAAGGATTATTATTACCACCGTCACCTCTTCATCTTCTTCTTTTATGGCCACATTCTGTGTTATGTATGCCCCAGCCAACAGGACAGCACGAAGGCTATTCATGCTGAACTGTCTCTCCCTCCCTTTCTTTCTCTCCCCTCCCCCAAAGGCCTTTCTTTTAGGCGATCTTAACTACATACATTACACTCACCCTCGTCCTCATCCCCTGTTTCAGGACTGGGTTGATACTCATCTTGTAGACTGCATCACCCCACTTCATACCAACCCCAAGCCCACCTGCACCCCTGCAGGAAACAAAGTCCGCCATACCATTGATTACATTTTCTCCTCTATCCAATTCCTCTCACAGGTATCTAAATCTGAGCAACTCTGCGCATCTCCTTTCTCGGATCACGACATGCTACTACTGACACTCTCCCCCGCCTCCGCCCCCATGACAGGTCGAGGGATATGGCGAATGAATACCCAGCTCCTCAACAACTGCGACTTTATCAAGAATCTCACCGACCACCTGGCGACCTTCTCCTTACCCCGTCCTCACCAAAGCAAGATCCAACACTGGGACAGGGTCAAGATGGAAATCAAACGTTTCTGCATCTCAGCCTCCATCAAAAGGAAACAGGATCGACAATCCGCCCTAAGAGACCTCAACATACAACGCCAAAACAAACTAGCCCAGCTCCCCCTTGCAACCGGTGTAACTAAGGACGCAATCATTCAGGATCTGGAAGCTTTGGAAACATCTCTTCAACAACATACATCGGAAGAACTGGATGCCTATGCCCTCCGGTCGGGAACCTTATGGCGTGAAAAAGGAGAAGGCAACACCGCCTACTTCTTCCGAGCCATCTCTCAACGCAACAAAAAACGACTCGTCCCACACCTACACAACCCTGCCACCAATGCCTTGACAACCTCAACCAATGAACGTCTGGAAGTAGCAACAGACTTTTACTCGCGCCTATACTCCCGCGACCCCTCCGACCAGAATGCAACTAACCGACTACTGGATGCCATCCCCCCACATGCAACCCTATCTGACCAGGATCGCGCCAGACTCGAAGGGACTATCACATCCGATGAGTTAGACCACGTTGTGAGCAGGACGCCCCTTAATAAGGCCCCAGGCAAGGACGGCTTACCCTTTGAGCTCTATCGATACATCCTCCTCATACCCTGGATCAAGGAACTATTCACCGCAATTATCAACGATGCGTTGACACTTGCCTCTTTCCCCACATCCTGGCAAGAGACAGTGATGATCCTCCTCTTCAAGAAGGGCGATGCGACAAAACTGGCAAACTGGAGACCTCTTTCACTCATTAACTCGGATACCAAACTCTTCACCAAAATCCTTACCCTACGGATTCAACCGTACATGACCAAGCTGACAGAATCGCACCAAACAGGATTCACGGCAGGACGACATATAGCAGACAATGGCTTAGTGCTCTCAACACTCCGAGATTACTGCAATGCAAGAAGGACAAGACATATTGGCGTACTACTGGATCAGGAAAAAGCATACGACCGTGTGCATCCTACCTATCTTCAACAGGTCTTGAAACGACTTGGATTTCCATCATGCCTTACGGAGTCGATTATTCAACTTTTCTTCTCTACCAGGATTGCACTCAATATCAACGGCTTTGTGTCAGACACCTTCCCACAATCAAGAGGACTTCGCCAGGGTGACCCACTATCTCCCCTCCTCTTCAACTTAGCCTTTGAACCGTTGCTTGCCTCTATCGAACGATCCCCGGCTATTCACGGTATTGAAATCCCTGGTCGCACGGATCCCATCAAGCTCAGCGCCTATGCAGACGACCTCATGACTCTCATCTCCTCCACAACCGAATGGTCAGCATTGGAGGATACCCTACGGACCTATGGCCGCGCATCCAATGCCAAAGTCAACCTGTCCAAAACTGTGGCCTTTCCTATGGCCCCCTCTTACTCCAAAGAATTGCAGACCCACCTGGAACATTTGGACGTGCGATGGCATGACTACAACTCCGCCGATGCTTTGATCTACCTTGGATTCCCTATCTTTTTCAACCGCGATCAGGAAAAAGACTTCTGGGACAAGACTCTGAAGAAGATACAATCAGCCATAACCATACACTCTTCCCGATCCCTCTCCGTCCTGGGCCGAGCCACCATCATCAACTCTCTTATCCTCTCCAAACTTTGGCACCTATCCTGGATTGTCAACCCCCCGCTCGACTTTTTGCGAAAGGTGAAGGCTGCAGTCACCAAATTCGTATGCTCCTTTAAACCAAGGCCATCATGGGAGGTGATCACTACTCCAAGGGACAAGGGTGGCCTAGGCGTTATTGACCCAGCTACTCAATGCCATGTTTTCCAACTCAAGCATATCCGCAATGCTCTCTCCACTAATGTCTCTTGGGGTAAGGACATCATTCTTGATATCATCCGATGGAGGACCAAAACGTCTCACCGCCTTGCCTTCCTCCTAGCACCCCTGGACGGACAGTACAGATCCTTATTGGCAGGGTTTCCCGGTCTGCAACGATTGGTATCTGCGGCGTCCCTCCTCCCTTCCCTCAAAGCACTGGCCCTTGCTGATCCCTTGCCGGACTCTGTAACACTTGCCTCCTCACCAATCGAATGGTGGTTTGAAACGACAGATACCACCATCAAGACCCTCAGACTCCGAGTGGAAGAGCTCTTTCAGTTTTCTCCTGACAACAATGGGCTCCTCCAACTGGTCAGAAAAACACACCTTTCCCCCAAGCTCCGCCTTGCTCAAGTGGAACTAGGGATCCAGGCCTACCAAGAACGTCGTCGAATGCGCCACAGTATGCAGCAAGCACTCTCGAACCCACCCAAGATCACGCAGGATGATACATTGGCACAGCATATCCTCTCATCTGTCTTGATCCCAAACGACAGTAATCCCATCACTCTGGAATCGGCCACGAACAAACACCTTCGAGCCTTTTTGAGGCAAGACACACCACCAAACCCAAACTCCTCAACCCAACCAGAGACGGGAACCTCGAAACAGTGGCGCCAATTCTGGAGCGCTAAAATACCACACCGGGCCAGGACCACGTGGTGGAGATTTAAAAGGGATTGGCTTCCTTGCGGAACTCTACGTCAAAAAATCTGGAAGCAGGATCCTCATTGTAACATGGCCGGATGTCGTGAGCGACGTGAGGACAAGGCGCATCACATCTTTCAGTGCGCTCCTAAATACATCGCTTGGCAAACAATTCTCAAGGAACATACATCCAAACCACTTTGGTCAGATGATGACCTTGATAAGGTCTTGTCTTTCCATCCTCCAACCTTTGATATCAAACCCCAATTTAACATCACTATCCCACAATTGCTGGCTTGTTGCCTCATTGGTATTTCATCAGCCAACACCGTTCTTTTTCTTCATCAACACACTCAATCTAGTAGCGATATCATCCACACCATACTTCGCGAAATCACCAAAACCATAGCACAAAATAACTCAATCAAGGCTGTTTAAGCCACAATAAATCCTCTCTTTTCCCTCAAAAAAAAAAAAAAATGCTGTTACAAAAAGATGTGGTGGCTAGGCAGTGGCGGCGATGCCTTAGGTTAGCAGTCATATTCTTTAGTAGACATAGTATTAGTAGTGCGCCGAGCCCTCTTGTCTGCTCTTTGTCCTTTTACACATCACTTGGACGAGAGCAGTATTGACAAGAGTTTCGCTGGCACGCTGCAGTGTATCGTTTTGTGTGATTCTTTTAGGACGCTATTATCACTTCCCCTCCCTCCAACCTACAACCCCCTTCCCCCCCTCCTCCGTACCAATTGAGGACCTAACAGCGGTCCTACAACTCTGGCCGTCGACCCTCTCCCCTGAGTAACAATGCCATCTGCTCTGGCGCTGTTACAAAAAGATGTGGTGGATAGGCAGTGGCGGCGATGCCTTAGGTTAGCAGTCATATTCTTTCGTAGACATAGTATTAGTAGTGCGCCGAGCCCACTTGTCTGCTCTTTGTGCTTAGGGCCCACCGGTGGAAACAGGACGCCCAATGTGATGCTCAGGGATGCAGGGAAAGAAAGGCGGACAAGAACCACCATGTCTTCGGATGCAAGGGCAAGTACCTAGCATGGCAGTTCATTTTGAGAGAATACACGGACAAGCCCACATGGTCCGACGAGGATCTCCATACTTTGCTCTCCTTTAAACCCCCCACCTTCTCCATTAAGCCCAAATATAACATCACCCCCCCACAACTGCTGGCGTGCTGCCTCATAGGTATAAACACAGCAAATATCATCCTCTTCCTTCACAAACTCACACAGTCTTCGGAGGAAATCTCTAACTGTGTCTCCATAGAAATTAAGAAAGCGATAGCGCAAAACGATTACCTCTTCAAACTCACGGCCACAAGCCACAAATAAAATCTTAGAAAAGCAAAAAAAAAAAGTCTGCTCTTTGTCCTTTTACACATCACTTCTTGGACGAGAGCAGTATTGACAAGAGTTTCGCTGGCGCGCTGCAGATAACAACCCCCTCTTTGATAATATGAATACAAGGTCCTTTTACACATCACTTCTTGGACGAGAGCAGTATTGATAAGAGTTTCGCTGGCGCGCTGCAGTGTATCGTTTCGTGTGATTCTTTTAGGACGCTATTATCACTCTTCCCCCCCTTCAACCTACAACCCCCCCTTCCCCGTCCCCCCACCCCCCCCCGTACCAATTGAGGACTTAACAGCGGTCCTACAACTCTGGCCGTTGACCCTCTCCCCCGAGTAACATCGATTGGTGTTGTCCCTTGATCCTTTCATCCCTGGCTTTTTCAGGCCCTTGATTTTCCCAGCCCCTTGATTTTCCCAGCCCCTTGATCTTTTCGGTGTCTCACCTTTCCAGCATGCCCTGGATCCTTTCAGCATTGCTCCTGTTCTCTGCATCCCTCCTCTCAGCCCTTAACCTTAACTTGGAATCTTGGATGTATGCCTTGATGTTGTCCCTTGATGTTATCCCTTGATGCTCCTTTGATGTTGTCCCTTGATGTTGTACCTAGATATTTATCCTTGATATTGTTCCTAGAAGTTGACCCTTAGATGTTGTCTCTTAATGCTGTCCCTTGATCCTTGACATTGTCCATGGTCTAGAGTACAGTCTCACAGGAAGAGCCGACATCAAAGGATCAAAAAGCAACGTCTCCATGAACGCTTGGCTACCACAAGCTAGTTGTCACTGTAAACGTTTTTTCTCCTCTTAGTCGTTTCTGTCCCTCCCCTTCCATCTTTGTTCTGTCCCTCTCCTTCCATCTTTTTTCTGTCCCTCCCCTTCCATCTTTTTTCTATGTCTCTCCCCTTCAGCCTTCCTCCCACTCCCTCTTCCTTCAACCCTTTTCTCTGTCTCTCTCGCTGTCTCTACCCTTCAGCCTTTTTTTCTTAGTATCTCCCTTTCAATCTTTTTTCTCTGTGAACGAGAGTTAAGCTACTCTGTCCTTGATATATAAAGCTTTCATTTTCCTGTCTTCTTGTGGCTTTATTACTCCACAGCATTCTCAACCCGAAAGCAAGGTAGCAGCCAACACTCTCCTTTATCTATTCTCTCGTGTGCAAAGCCAGCTTTCCTTTCATAAAATCTCAAACATACTTTTTTTCACCACAATAGTCATCCTTACACTTTCCACTGGCAGTCCACTGACGTTATACAAGGAAACAACTCTCAGCCCAACTCGCGAACATGGTAATGAACCCCCTCCTTATTCGTTGTCCTCTGAACATGTCTTACCTCCAGTTCAAATCTAAAGTTACATTATTTCTTGTCTACATTAGGTTGTCACATCCGTCATGCGCCTATTCTTGGTGGCAATTTTATTTGTTTCCACCGTTCTTGCGAGAAGAGATATGCGGTGCACATCAGAGCATCTCACCACTTGTGGGAAGTTTTCCTCCCTTGTGGAACAGCCATATATCACTCAGTTCCTTGCAGGCTCTATTATAAGGGGCTATTGTCGTTGTCCAACGACGATGTCCCAAACTGTGTATACGGATAAATCAGGCTGCGGGCTGACCAACGCAGGCTGTACACCGTCCACATTTAAAAAGGTGCCAGTGTTATACGGCTGCTATCAGAACGACGATGGCTGCACGAAGGAGCAGGATGCAATGTGCAAGTCATTCTGCAAAGTGACTGCAGAGGGTAGTTGCTACACTTATGCGACCCCCTTCAACATCAATTGGCGCGTAAGATGCACAGAAACTCGTTAACATTGACTAGTGTAGCTCTTATAATTCCCACCTTTTCCGAACTCCCATACCTAGATGTGTATCTCTAGTAGTAGCCTGTTTCAATACATTAAATTACGTTCAGGCCGTTTTGGCTCCCCCCCCAAAAAAATCAACAGTCGAATAAGGCGTATTTCAGAATGTAGATACCAACGAGGTAGAAAAAGAAAGGACCAGGCTGGTCACTTGAACAGAGCAAAGGTTGGTAAACGTGGCGCAATCGTGCGTTTAGTTCGAGCGCTCTTGCTGGGCGGAAAACAGGCATCGATCGATCGCGACGGTTAGCGGCACGAAAGTCTGGAAAGACCTTGCGTCTGACATCAATGTCGTCGAGCCCGTAAGCCCTGTTGCGAGGGAGACAATTAATGGCCAGAGGGATTGGGTCGTCTTAGGCATGGATACAAGCCCCGTGGGTGGTCTGGCAAGTATCACTCCTGCAGTTGTAATCGTTTGGGTTCAAGCTGCGAATGTGGCAAAGGACGTTTCAGTAACTGCCCCCATTGCGCTCTCATCTAAATTACAGGGTTTGAAGCTAATCGTCAGGACCGTGGCCTGCGCCACAGCCATAAAAATGACGGCGAGGAGGAGAGTGAGTTCGTTGAAATGCATGCTTGGCTGTTATTGGATTTTAGGGCCAAAGGAGAAAAAACATTGAGTGGCATGCATTGTGTTAGATAAATGGACGAGATTAGGTGGTGGGAGGGGGATGATTTGGAAGAACAAACGCAGAATGCTGCCCAAGTACGAGAATGTGTCTTACTGAGAAGGTTGTGGTGTTGGTTGGGTAAGAAGAGGGAAGGTCTTGAAGTGATGAGGGGGGGCTCTTTGAGTTGGGTGTGAGGAGTAGAATCCTGGTCGTTCCTTTAATATGTGAGAGTAATGGCAACAACTAGCCGATTCATGCTGTCCTTTGGAAAGAGAATTGTGATTAAAACAGAGTAAAGCAAGTGAACCAAGTCGGTCAATCATCCCATGCGCGCTGGAATTTCCTCCTTCTCTCTGACTCCCTCTAAACGAACATTGCCGCCTTATGCCTCAACTGGTCTTTATAGACCATTTTTCGTGATGGAAGAGGCTTGACAGATTCCTTTGACAATCTAGCCGCTAACATATTCGTCACGGAGCCTTTCAACCTGGCTTTCAGTTTTTGCAATCTTAATAGGAGCAGTGCCAGAGCCAACGCAACACACTAATATATTCCATCCGTACTTAGTCAACAAGTCTTTCGACAATATTGTTGAACTTTACTGAATATGCTTTACACCTCCAGGCACATATCTATGTCTGCTAATTTAGGAAGAGCTGACATCGAAAAATCAAAAAGCAACGTCGATCTGAACGCTTGGCTGCCACAAGCCAATTATTCCTGTCTACAAGAATTTTTAAGGTACCCTAAGAAGCTCCCCCAACTGTGCGGTTACACATGACGGACATTTTGCTACAGTCGCGAACGGACACAAGTGCGCGACCATGGCCTGTAGGGATGTCTCTTACCCCATTTCATTGTCCCTGGAGAATGTCCAAACCCTGATCTTGTTGGAGCTCAAGAGCCTCCGAAATTGCCTCGGGGCGGCGCTCAAAAAGTCTCGTGTTCAGTTGAGCGACAGCCAGTACGGCGCTCTTATCTCCTGGGCCTACAACCGGCGGTATAACGTCGTTACAGCCTTAGTTAGTTAAACGCCTGAACACCGGCGAGAGCTCCAGCAAGGTTGCTGAGGAGGAGTTGGTCTAATATCTAAGGCATTAATCACGTTTACTGAGACTTGGGTTCGATTCCTCGTCGGCAGGTCGAGGTCTTCCTTTACAAGAAAGCTTGCTCTGTCAAGGCTTCCTTGTTCTAAGTGGTTGAGGGAAAAGAGACGTCCGCCGAAACTATATAAATAAAGACTAGCGGAATAAACCACTGGTGCTGTTCTTCATCATTGCGAAAGAAAGATATATACCTAGTCGAGGGCCTGAATGGAAAAGATAGAGAGAGGGATGGTGAGTGTGTGTGAGGGAGGACATGGTTCAGTCCAAAATATATATATAAAGAAATGTCTCTGTCCCACCTCGTACGAAGGGAGGCAACCGTGCGCCCAATGGACTCAGATTCAATAGACTCATCTCGTCCTTTCTGTCATCCATCGCTGATACTGTAATTACACCATCACATTGATCCATACCCTTATCGCATCCGATGATACATAACATTCTCGTTACTTTGCACTGGAACACTTGCATGTTTCTATATTCTCGAAAATGAGCATATGTCTTCCCTCTTCTCTTTTTGTTTCTCCAAAAGGAGATGTAAGCGGGAAGGAAAACCGAATAGAGGGAGGAAATAAAATGGCCGAAATAGATTGCCACAATTTTCTCCCATCTCGCCCCACCCTTCACAAAGAAACATTGAGATGGACAGAATGAACCAGCGATGATGATGTTTGACCATGATCCAACGTGATGCTAGTATGCAAATATTATCAAAGAGTGGATGAGGGGCTGAGTGCTGGGCTCATACTATCTTAATTTAAAGTAGTTGTGTGTTTGTGTGTGTGTGGTAGTGGGGGAGGAGGGGTCATGGTGCCTCCTTCCTCAAACATCCCCACGTACCTACCCTTTCTCACCTTTTCTTTTCTCGACATCATCCTCGACACTTATCTTACTTCTTCTACCTCTGCTTCCTTTTCTTCGTCATCACTTCTTTCTCTCTCTATCTCTCGTTCTCGTTTTCTACATTCGCTGTCTCTCTCTCTACTCTTTTTACAACCTTACTTTGTGTATGAATCCTTTCTCCTCTACGCCCACATTCCAAACGAAAAACAAAATTGCGTGCGAAAACAATTTGTAACGAACAATAACAACAAAACCAAAAAATACCCCTAAAAAACCCCCTTCCTCCCACCACTTTCCCTATTCCCCTAGCCTTTCGCCTTGTTCACGCAACTCGTTTCTCCTGTTCCCTCGTACCTAAGTCGCCGTAATGGAGTTCTCCTCTCCTTCCGCTGCTTTCTCGCCTTTCTCTCCGGAGACAATGATGACCGACTTTCAGACCCTCACGCACCGCCTCGCGATCGAAGAAGGCCAGCAGCGCCAGATCGACTCTTTCCAAGACAACTCGAACTTCATTGACCAGTTGGCCAAGGAAGACAATATGGCGGCTGCTGTCTTTGCAAAAACTCAGATGTCGTTTGTCGCCGATACACCTGTCGCTGCTGGCCAGTCCCCGTTGCTTTCACCACCCACAACCTCTTCTTCATCTTCGTCTTCTTCAACCTCTACCCCGGCTGCCTCAAGGCCATCTGCCGACACACCCAAAACCGCGCTCGTTCAGCCTCCCTTCACAAGCATGATCATATCATCTGCACCAAACGGCACCACACCTACTGCCACCACCACCACTATCACCACCTTATCAAAAAAGCCACCCGCCACCCCAGGAGGCACCAAAAAACCTCCCTCCAAAACAACAACAACAAAGACGTCCAACAAACCCACCATCCAGTCATGTCCATCTCCAAAGGTCCAAATACGTCTCGACAGGTTCTTGGTTAGCAGAAAGCCATCCCTCGCCTCTACCACCAAACTCGCCGTTAACTCTGAAACCAATACCCCTGAAAAGTCCATCCTCAAACATTGTACTGCCGGCAGTAATACCAGCAGCCAGTCTCCTGCCTCGGCAACACCAAAAGCTGTCAAATCCTCCGCCACCTCTTCAACAACTACGCCCAAGCCCAAGCCCAAGTCCAGAGTCAGAGTCAGCGTCAGAACCAAACCAGCACCCACCCCTCCTTCAGCCAAAACAACTAAACCAACCGAGCCCACAACCCCTTCGCCCGTCGAGAAGCGTACCATCACCCTACACAAAACAAGCAGGACCCCGCCTTCGCCTCCAAAACCAAGACTCAAAGCAAACTTTTTCTTTGGCCTCCTCCCTCCCCCAACAGTTACCACGGCCAACAGCAAGGCGGGTGAAACTCTGAGACGCGCGGGCGACCCTAACACGAGCACGAGTAGGAGCACTGGAAAGAAGCCCAAGAACGCACCCAAGGCTGGACCTGATGCTTCCACTGCCACTCCTCCAGCTGACACAAATGTAGCGACGCCCAAGTTGACGAAGGTCAAGGAGCTTGAGCCTGATTCAAACGATGCTGCCTCGACCGGTTCCACAACTGCCACTGGCAAGGATGTGTCCCCGACCGAAGTCACGCGTCGAGTCGTCAAGTCGAAGTCCATCTTGCCAAAACTCAAATCTACCATCGCCTCCGTCGTCAAGGCAGGAACTGATAAAACAGTTGTACCTGCCGTGTCAAAGAGCATGACCACACCACCCTTGGTCACAAAAAAAACGAGTATGCCGGTTGAGATCTCGAGTCGAGTCATCAAGATCGAACCCTCTGTTCCCAAGTCCAAGTTCAGACCCACCACTGCTACGCCCACAAGCACCACTACACCCGCTCCGAAGGTGATGGCAACGTCTGAAACTACTTCGCTCAAGGCTGTATCCAAACCCACCAAAGTCCCTTGTACCTCGAAGAATACCACGACAGTCACCGCGGTCAGTAAGACAAAAACTCATCCTCCTCCAGTCGCCAAGTCTGTGGTCGCGCCCGCCGCAAGGTCAAAGAAGTTAAGCGACACTGTGCCACCATATTCGACGAAGGCCTCTGCGACAACTACAATAGTATCGGTCGTTCCCAAGACGAGGGCAACCCCAAAAGACGCGTCTACCGCCCCCAAGTTATCACCAAAAGACTCTACCTTTCTCAAGAACCTTAAGTCATCGTCTACCTCCACCATTACCACTATCACTTCAGTCTCCAATGACAGCACTACTGTCCCAAAGCTCTCCAAGAACGTCACCATCTCCACCTCCGCACCCAAGAACAACAAAGGCAAAGTTAGAGACAAGGACTCTCTCCGTACCAGTTCAGGGGCTACGACGGCTACCAAGCCAGCTGCTCAACCTCGTAACTCCATCCCGCAGCAACCACAGCAATCCTCGCCACCACCACAGCAACCTCTCGCAATAACAACAACAACAACCTCCATCTTTGGCATTCTCCCCTCTCCAATCTCCCCTTTATGGCCCAACGAAGACATCTCCATGGACTCTCCCTCATTCTCACCAACCTTATTAACACAAACTCCAACAAGGAGCAGTAGCTTCTCGTTCAACACCTCTCCTTCAGGGATCGTTCTCTCCCTCTCCACCAACCAACATTACTTCCAGAACCAAAACCGTCAACTCGCCACCACCACAACAGCAACAACAGCAACAGCAACAGCAATCACTTCTTGCCAGACTGCGCCTACACCGGCTTCACATCCACCCTTAGGCAGCACCCCCCAACCCCGCCCAAAACGAGTCCTAGAACTAATGCTCCAATCCGACCACGACCCCCCCACCACCAGCCTACACATCAACGAAAACGACCCCTCCTACTACATCCGTAGTAGCGAACAAAATCCTTCCAGCTTCAACAACCTACTCCCCAAGAACGACGACATCGCCTCCAGTTCTAATCCTCGGCCCCGGAAACGCCAACGCCTGGCAGACATCATCACTGCAGAGTCTATGGCTGGGAGGAACCATGGGATGTTTGGTCAAACGGCGTTCGAACAGGCCCTTGACGCCATGTCCTTCAAATATCCTACTCCTGCTCTTGTCCCTGGTCCTGTGAATGTACATGGGCTTTCACCTACACCTGCAACTATAACTGCGACGGCGAGTCAGAGATTGCGTCTGTTCCTGAAGCGACGACGGGACGCCAGTACCTCAACGATGCCCGTAGGTAGAAGAGTCATCGGAGGAGAAGAGGAACTCCTCGCTGGATACCATAATACCCTCCCTTCCCATACATTAAAAATACCATTTTGAATGAACACGATGATCTGAATCCCCAGGCACCTCTCCAAAATGATAGTACCCGCCTCTCGCACATGTTGTTGTTATGCAATTTTATTATATTTTTCCATGCTAAAAACTCTTCAATCCAAAATCCACGAATCGCCTTCAACTCATGTCAATCCCCGCTGCTGTGTTGTGCTGTGTGCTTCCTCCTGTGTGCAAGATCTCGAGTTGTGGTCAACTCGTAAAATAAAAAAACGCGCCTCCACATGGTCTCTCAATCACGCAAGAGAAAAAAAAAAGCAAGTTTAGTAGCAGAGACGGTAACTGACATAACGACCACTCGTCTCGGACGGCCTCATAATCTTGACAACCTGTCCACGAGCCAATCCGTAGTATCTTGCGATAGGATCTGAAGGCTGGATGCGAGGCAACTGAGTCTCCTTCAAACGGCTATAAGAAAAGATATAGACATCAAATTGGTGAGTATGAGAGGGACAATCATCGGAGGACTCAACTCTACGTATCCTGGTATGAGTTGAAAATGGATCCTGCAAAAAATAAGACATACTAGCGCTTCAAGAGGGCCTCCTTCTCCTCGGAGGAAAGAACAACGTGTTCTGGGACGAGGGTGTGCTCTGTGATGTTGACGAGGAGATCTGCCTCCTGGAAGGACTCCAAGTGGTAGCTGTGGCTGACTTCGCTGATGACCTTGGTAGCCATGGGTGTGATCTTGTCCTGGTAAATAACAATTCCGCGTCCAACCGACTTTGCAACCATCAACTCGCAGTACCTATTATGTCATGACGATTGCTTTAGTCAGTACACTGCTTGATCACATATGTCAGTTGTGGTTATGATCTGTTATCCAGCTTACTTCTTGATGGTCTTGACACCGACAGAGGTCTCGTCGGGGAAGAAGACAAGCATCTGATCTGCGGGGTCATCCTTCTTCTGGACCATGAACATCAACGCGTTACGGCTATTATTAAGGAAAAGTTCACACATGTGTTAGGTAATAAGAAAAGGAGACATATCTTGGTTTCTTGTCGAAATAGGCGCAAGTTCCGCTAATGTGGAAGCACTGAGTGGCCAGTCCTATCCTTAACCGATCGTGCAACGCCCTCTATAGCCAAAGTGTGTCCTGCGCCGTAACAACTGTAGTGTGTCGGTTGCGATCAGCCCTTCGTTTCACGTTGATCCTGCCGTCGCCACAATGTCCTTCCTGATACTAGTCACCACTCCTTATAGAAGCAATCGTTTCATGCAGCACTCTAATACTCTGTCCTTGCCCAGGTAGTGCCATGTTGCTAGCGCCCGAGTACTATGGCCAAACCCCCTTCCCTCTTCTTGGTTTCCTGGTGTAACGGACACGTTCTTCTTCCAGCGACACGAGTATGTAGCTCCGTACAACAGATCCTGGTTCCGATCCTTGTACTGGGATATCCTCTCCATGGAGTAAAACGGACAGAAGCGTGCCAGCTGAGGTTACTTACTCAACCTTTCCGTGACTGGCAAACAAGCCGGTGAACTTCTCAAGGTCCTGGTCCAACTCATTCTGAGCAATCAGGTAGCCCTATTGGTACAGCAGTTGGTGGGGAGGGAGGTGTGTAAGTCAGCAACGAGGCGTCTTCTCGGAAGTTGTTATTGTTGTTGCTGTTGTTGTCTCTTGAGGAGGAAGTGCAAGCGGAAGATGCTGGGTGGAATGGTGTGTTGATCACTTTCTGGTAATCAACAAATAAAAACGATTCCTTACTCTGTGAGCGCAGAGTTGATGGATGGTTCTGTAGACTCTCCAGAGACGGACGATTTCGCGAGACTCGTTATCCATTGTAGTGTGAAAAAGGGGTGTTGTGTTGAAATGAGAGGAGAAAAAAAAAGAAAGAGAGAGTCTAGCGGAGGAGCTGGAGGTGAACACTGGCGAAGTTGATGGACAAAAGGAAAAAAAAAGCGAAGCACAAAAAGTACGTTTATGTAGAGAGCTAGGCAAACAACTTCAAGAGGCAAAGCCACCGGCTGTCCTTGGTCGCAGCCAACCCAAAAAAAAAAAAAAAAAAAATCGCGAGCTTGATGAGATGTATAACGCCTGCGATCAGATCGCCTTCCTGACCGTCACGAGGAACCGCGGAAGGGCCGCAAAAGATCATCTCTGGCTACAAGAACGACGAGCAGCTGGACGCCCTTCTCATCACACTTTCAGGAACACAGGAATCATCATGTCGGCAACCATCACAGCATTACAGCGCAAGCTCGAGACCGACTCTGCCGCCTACCAGACCTTGCAGAAGGGTAATTTTCTCAAACCTCTTCTTACATCACCCTTTGAGCATCAGGAACCGTGCCGCAACACACTCAGCATCTCGCACTTGGACTGATATTAGGAAACGTGTTGGAGGCGTCACGTCTTGTCTACACTTTTCTTACCCACAAAGGGAGTCATCATAGTGGAGAAACCCTGGACAAACGTTTACACCTTCATACCTGCCTTCATAGGCATTGGTCATGGAGATATACCTGCATCCTCTCATACTTGAGGTGGTCATCCCAATCGTATACGCCCTAACACCGCGCCCCACTCTACCCTCTTTTTACCCTACCCAACCACTACATGGAAAAACAGACTACGCAAAGGCAGTCGAGTCAAGGCAGAGACTGGATTCTCAACTCCAAGAAAACAAGCTGGTCCAGGACGAGTTCAAACTCCTGAAGGACGACGCCAACATCTACAAACTCATCGGCCCCGTCCTCACCAAGCAGGATAAAGTCGAGGCCGTCACCAATGTCGACAAGCGTATCGATTTCATCCAGGCCGAGATGTAAGCAAAAAACCTCCCCTTGTCTTTGTTTCTTTATTCTACGCCTGTGTCGCGTTTGTGTTTTTTTCATGATGAAGAGGTGACTAATACGGCGTTTTATTACCTACCTTTTTTCGTAGTGAGCGTGTGGAGAAGCAGTTGAATGACTTGCAAGAAAAGACGGAGAAGAAGAGGATGGAGTTGGTCCAGACCCAGACCGCGCTCCAGCAACAATCCGCCAAAAATTAAAAACTGGAAACGACTCGACAACAGGGAATAAAAAAAACAACATAATACATCAATAACAACATCAGTTCTCAATCAAGGACATCGTATCCAACTCTTCCTTTGGTGTTAAAGGGAAGAGGCGAATGGGAGCGGATTCATTTTCTCGAAGAACTGCTCTGGACGCGTGGGTGACGTTTATCATTGTTTGGGGAGGGGAGAGAGAACTTTTTTTGCTGTGTAAAAAGGAGTATGCCTAAGGAGGAGACAATGGAACGGTCGTCCTTGAACCGTTCCATTCTGTTATCCAGCGCTTTTTCTGAGAAAACCAAGAAAGGGGTTTGGTAAAAAGTCAGTGATAAGTAATGGACAGCGACGGGCACGAAGATGATGATGATTCTTATTTTTTTTATTACAACTTGAACAGAAAAGTGAAAACAAAGAACAGACAAAACAACATGAAGAGAAAGGACGGTAAATGGTATGAGGTGAAGAATGGAGAGATCACAATCGCTCCCCAGAAGAGAGGATGTTGTTCTTTATGCTGCACAAAAAGAGTTCAAATAGTAAGATATATATATTCAAGAACGAAAAATGATGAATAGGTTCGCCTCTCCTGAAGAAAGAAACCTGTAATGAAGAAATGAAAGAAAAGGAATGTAAAGAGGGTTCAAACGGACAACCAAAAGAGCTGCTTGGTCTTGGACAGGACAAGAGATTTAGGAGGACTTGCCCATCTTGGAGGCGGCTTTGGAGACCTCGTTGAGACGAGCAAAGACCTCAACTGTACCACCAATAATTCCCGTAGTATGGTACCTCACTCCGTACTTCTTGCACAAGGTCTCGACCGCAGGTTGGATCTTCGAGAAGTTATGACGAGGCATCGAGGGGAACAAGTGGTGCTCAATCTGGTAGTTCAATCCACCAGTAAACCAGTTGGCGAACAGACTAGGGTGAACATCACGGCCAGTAATAATCTGCTTGGTGAAGAAATCCATGTCGACAGCTTCCTCCCTGGAGATGACGGGCATACCGTTGTGGTTGAGGGAGAAGACAATGGCAAGAAGGTTTCCACAGACGGCCTGAGAAACGAGGAAGTAGACGATCATGTTGACGGGGTCCTTGATGAAGAGGAACATGGTGGCAAAGTACCAGGTCCAGTGCATGGCCAACGAGAGCTGCTCGACAAGGGAAATGGGGACGCGGGCTCCTGAGGGCTTGTGGGCCTGGCCGTTGGGGAGGACAAAGAGGATCGACTGGAGGCACCAGGAGAGACGGGCAAAGGACAGAATGGGGAAGTAGAACCAGGTCTGGTTCAAGACCATGAAACGAGACCACATCTTGGTCAATTCCTCATCGGGCACATCCGAGAACATCTCCAAGGCGTGCTCACTCCAGGTCAACAGGGGGTGAGTATCAATATCGGGATCCTCTCCATGAACGTTAGGCGCAGCGTGGTGAGTGTTGTGCTTATCCTTCCACCAGGAGGACGAGAAACCTTGGCAGACACCTCCGAGGAAAGCTCCGAAGAGGTCTCCCCAGAAGCGATCTTGGAAGACCTGGTGGTGCAAGAAATCGTGGGCGAGCCAACCGCACTGCTGCCAGAAGACTCCCAAGATCGTGGCTGAAGCAATTGTGGCCAAGGTCGAGGTCTGGCCCCACTTGGCGACGATGATAGTCGAGAGGACCCAGAGACAGAGGTTGAAAGAGACCTTGAAGGCGTAATACGCCTTGGAGGAGTCGTAATAGCCCAAGGACTGGAAGAGCGAGCGGAGCTTGCGCACCTCGGCCGCAAAGTCGTCGCCCTTGATCGCGCGGTCGTGCTCAGCAATGTCGCCGACGTAGAAGTTGGCGAGTGTCTCCCACGCAGCCTCTGGGTGGAACGTATCAAACACATCTAGATTGACGAAAGGGGAAAGAGGCGTTAGAAACACGAAACAGGAGACATTGAGAAGGTGTTTGCGAGGGACAGAGAGGTAGCGGGGATATTTTTTTGTGAAGTGAATATTGTTGTTGTTGTCTGTTGTTGTCTGTTGGTGTGGATACTGTTGCTCGATGTATATGGAATAACAAATAATAAATCGTATTATAGTTATGTTGGGGATGCAGCCTGTTTGTGCAGGAGTGTGTCCCGACACCCACGTATTTTTTTCCTGTTCCTCGAGTCCAATTGAAGTGCCTGCTGTTTGTTCCATCTGCTGTCTATCCCGTTCTTTCGCATGACTTGGCTGTCTGCGGGGCATTGTCTATCGTCTGTGGCGTGCTATCTGCATGTCTCCGTCTCAGTCTGTTCTTCTCTGTGTGTTGGCAAGTGGCGTGAGTATCCCTCGGTTTGTACAGCTCCTTGTTTCCCAATCGATAATGGGCAATGCAGCCACCCTTCCCTTTTTCAGGGTCAAAACAACAAACAACAATGAGAAGAGAAGAGATAACGGTCAAGGTCATTAATAACCACAACCATCATCTCCCCCATCGTCTTTCTTTTTTTTTTTTTTTTTTTTTTTTTTCCATCTCAGATGTCCGTTCGGAATCCCGGTCAACTGGGACTCAATCCCGTTTCATCTGCTCTCAACTTTCTTTTCATTCAGGTCTTTGTAGTTAACCACAAAGTAAACAACCGCCCATATTCCCCAAAGTATACGAAGGTGTAAGTAAGCTTACCGGTGCCGTCCTTGCCAACGTGTGTCAAGATAACACTTCCACCGGGGTGATCGGGCACAAACTCGCGGACATCATAGACCTTGTTGTCGATGATCATCAAAAAAGGTGCCTCGGCATCCTTCTTGCCCTCATTGAGAGCCTCGACATTGAGGATCTCGGACCGGGTGAACGTCCTGATGCCTAATTCATCGTTTTTGGTTGAAAAGAAAGAGAGGAAGGAGGGAGGGAGGGAAGAAGGGGAGAGGAGGGAAGAGGGAAAGCTATTTCGTTAGTGATGGTTCGAGGTGTGATTGTTTGATATCAACGGCTATGTTTTGATGGGGATGTGTTTGATCACATATGAAAATAAGGTGATCATCAGATCAAAAAATGAGGGAAGGATGATAAGAGAGGGGGTTGCTACTTACTGGGGGTGGCAGCCATGGTTGATGAAAGAGAGTCGAAAAGGAAGGAAAGGGGAAAAGGGAAGGGGGAGGAGGAGGGTGGAAGGAGAGGGTGGTGGAAGGAGTGAACAAAGAAGAAGAAAAGAAAAAAGAGGAAAAGAAGAGACACAAGAAACGAGCAGGAAGATAAAGACAGGTGAAAACGAAGAGAGAGCACCCTGTTCGGTTCAGTTTCCCCTCCCGACAAGCCAACTGGCTTCTCTCCTCTTCTGTCCCCTTCTCCCCTTTCTCTCCCCCAGACATCCCAAATAAAAAACGATTTAAACCCAGCTTGTACGTGTGCCTGTTCAAAAGAATTAGAATCGAATCGGGATCGCTTGTTCATTCAGAAACAAAAAATAAGGTGATAAACAAAACGCACCATCCAGGGGTAACAGTTCTCAGAGCAAAGTGCAAAGTGGATCCGAGGTATGTTTATAGTTGTTACTTGTGGTGGGTCTAACCACGGCAGAAAAAGGCTACTTCCAAGGACAATCAATGAACGGGGGGACCCATCAATTGTCCGTCCGTCCTTGACTATTGGTCTCGGAACTAGTGGCACACTACAGTTCAACATGATAAACAGGCGATACAAAAAAAAGTGTTCACGTACTGGTTTCTCCAAACTCTCTCCCCTTGGTGTCTCTCTCTCGCCATGTGTGTGTCCTCCCATGGGAATCGCAGCTCCCTCCTCCTCTCATGAGATAGACCTCTCTCTCTCTCTTTTTTTTTCTTTTTTTTCTCCGGCCTAATTGATCCCTTTCGCTGTTGTTATTATTATTGCCACATGCCAAGTGTCACCATGCACACCTTCTCACACTCCCCAATAATCCTCACCTGTTCACAAAGAAAACGAAATAAATAAAAGAAAACAAAAGAAAACAAAAGGAAAAAAAAGACGATAAGAGGCTCTCAGAGTATGTGCTCGTCTCATCCATCCATTTCGTCCGACCATCCACTGCCTCGCTATTCTCTCTGCGCTGCTTCAAAAAATCCTAATACGGTTTGGTTTCACTTGACTGCAGACTGCACCTGCTTTTTGGGGACCACACACACAAAGACGAGGAGTAAAAGGAAGGATGGATGGACGGAAGGAATCAAGAGGTGAGTTGCAAGTAGAGCACGTACAGAAAGGCGAAAAAAAAACCATGCAGAGGGGGGAAGAAGGAAAAAAGAAAAGGGCGCATTTCTTTTTCTTACCAGCCCAATTCACATGTGTTTGATAATCTAACCTTCTCCCTTCTTTCTCTCCTCACCTCACACACTCTTCATAACCCTCTCCCCTGCTTCACGCCATCATTTCCGTGTTCCCGAAATTACAATGCAGTTGAACAAGAACCAATCCTCGGAGACAAAGCCAGCGTGCATGTGCGTTCATGTATATAATGTATTTTTAATGGTTTTCGAGGGAAAGTAAAAAACAACGAAAGAACAAGTAGCAAAAGAATTAAGTAAATGAAGGTGAGGGGAAAGGTAACTGTACAAGCGAACCAGCGTCAAGTAGGTTTGGCGTTTTTTTGTTTTGTTGCTGTTGACGGGGTGGTTTGTTATGTTATTTTTGTTGAGCAGATCAAGAGAAGGAAGGTGTGGAAAGGTGAGAAGCAAGAAAAGAGAAAGAAAAAGGAAAAGAACGAGGCCGTTTGTCTATGTGTGTGGGAGAGTAGCTTTGTGACACCTGGGATGTTGGTAGCATCTTGGTTCCTGAGCCGTGGATCAGATGGTCCTGATAGTCTCGTGACCGGGCAATGCTCCAGACGCTCCGAATGGCCACCATTGATACAAAATATGATATGGAAAGGAGCCCTGACCGATATTCCACCGTCGCATCCCTTCGCTTCCACCGAGCTGCTGAAAAAAAAAGTCCACGAGAAACTATCAAACGATGTGATAAAGTCGTCTAAAATTTGCTTGGTGGTGGGATACTCTGTCTCCTAAAGAAGGGCGATCGATGAAGAACACAACAACAAATAGCAAAGCAATGAGTCATTTTGTCACAACCACTAAAGAACATTATACCATGCCAGAACAAAACAAAGAGGGACTCACTTCTTGGTGGGACGGATAAACCCAGGAACTGCAGAGTCGGGACGGCCATAGAGATAAGTCGAGCAGATGACGACAAGAGTGCCGAGCTGGAACTGGATCGATGGCTCAAAGTCGAAAAAGTACACCGAGATAATGCCCGAGATGATGATCGACAGCGAGGTGGCAAAGCCCTTGAGAATGTTGTCGGCGTACTTGACCACAATGGCGACCAACAGTCCTCCAAGAGCCTGGTTGGCAACGACAACCCATGTCATGGCAGTATATCCCTGGAAGATACCGCCCTCAAAGATTCTCTGGCGATCGTAGAACATAGCCAAGAAACTGAACAGGGCTCCCGAAAGACCGAGCTGGATGTTCCTGACCCACATGTCGGCCTCTGCGCCCTTGAGAATCTTTTCAAAGTAGCAACCGGCGAATCCAGATGACACGCATGAAGTCAAGACAGCAACCAGACCAATAAAGGGGTTCTGCACAGGTCCAGTCTCCTCGTCCACAATATCGCCCACCATGCCAGCATCGCCCAGTTCGTCACCCATGCCGCCATCGAGTCCGTCGGACGAGAACTCATCCTCCTCCTTGCTGTCGACCACCACAGTACTGACTTTGGATCCAACATTCTGGAGCTGGACCAACGTGACTCCAACCATGAGCAGACAGAGAGCGAACCACTTTTGGCGAGTCAGCCTCCGGTTGAGCATCATGACGGAGAAGACGGCCGTCGAGAGAATCTTCATTTGGTAGGTGACCTGGAAGGTGGCGGCCTCGAGGTTGGAGAGGGCGACATAGAGAAGATTGTTCTGGAGGGCGTAGAGTCCTGAAGGCACCAGCATTTTGAGGATCTCCTGAGGCTGGTCGACGATATCCTTGCGGAGGATGTAGAATGTGCGTGGGATGGATTTCGTTTTGTAGGCGAGTACTAATACACAGGCGAGCAGCTTGATGAGCTCTGCAAAGAAGACCGCTGTTGAAGCGAGGTACATTGGCTGGTCTGGGTCGACGTTCACTCGGGAGTAGCGCATCATCAAGACGAGTGTACTGTTCTGGAGAAGGAGAATCAGGAGCGACAAGTGCTTCATCGACACGCCCATAAAAGTTGCTCCTTCATCTATTACATGATGACAGACAATACAAGGGTTTAGTCAATCCGCTTTTTTTTAAAAGGATGTGTGTGAAAGAATGGACATAACGTCTGTGTGTCTCCCTGTAGTGCTGCAGGCCTCTGCAGGCCACTGAAAGGCAACGAGAGCATATTTTTTTTTTCTTTTTCAACTCCCCACCTTGTCCTCCCCTGTGGCCATTTTGTGCTCCCAATGGAAAGAATGAACGACAACATCAATGCGCCCGTTCCTCTTTCTTTCATTTTTCCCAATGGGTGTCCACCATTCTCTCCAATTCAACAAAATGGACGAGTCATATTCACGCTACAGCGCACAAGCTAATCATCCGTTACTGAGGGCCCGCCTTGTTTTTGTTCTTTTTCACGCAGTCATATTCTCAATACAGACACACACCTTCTGCTCTTTGATGCTCTTTGCACTGCTCCCTTTTCTGTCGATTCATACTTTGCAACTCTTTTTTTTTTTTTTTTGCGAGATTCATCCCGATCAAAAAAAGGCCTTTGATCGTCCATGTAGAAATGATGCGCTCGCTCAGATGGTTGCCAAAAATATAATGATCTCCACGGTCCCATTCTTTGTCACTGCGTCCCGGTAGTTACTGTGTCCTGATCGATTTGCATGGCGTCCTGATATTATGTCAAAATGTTTGTGTGTCCGATCCTGATACGTCCGTGGAACAGCTAGGGACTACTTGATGGGGCCTTGTTGTCCAGGCGGTGTAGTTAGCTCCATCCCTCCACGCAGATTGAAGAAACCAACAACAAAGAACAGGGAAGAAGACCAATGGAAGTTGAAAAGAGCGGTAACTGTTTTGCTCTTCCGCTCCCTCTGATTATTGCTGCAGCTTCTGCCCATCCACTGTTTTGCTCCTCCTTCTCCTCATTCTAGCTGCAGACTGTAACCTTTGCCTCTATTTCTCGCTCCTTTTCACACTCTCTGGTGGTTTCCGCCTTTACTCACCCAGCCTCTCTATTTCGGATCATTTTATCTCCTTCCATTCCTTCGCTTCGATCAGATAAAACAGGAACTAAGCAAGAGGGACATAGAGAATGCAATGCAAGAAAAAAGAGAGAAACAACAAGAAACATAAAAAAGCACCGACCAACCAGGCCCCAATAACCAAAGCGAAACAATAACTCGTTGTCCCTTAGTCTCCCCTTTCCCGGTGTCCCTTGTCCCTTTCTTATCCCCATGCCTTATCTCCTGCCCTCTGCTCATTGCTGCTGCTTTTTCGTCCCATTGTTCACTCCTGGTGCAATGCGTGTGTTTAGGTACACCGTAAAATACGGAAAGCGAATTAGTGTTATTGCACAAGACCACAAAGGGGGTTGGAAAAGAGAAAGACTTACGGCGACCACGGCCGTTCTGGTGGTGTATCGTTGGGAGGGATCCCACATGTTTTTCTGAACTCATGATGGTATGTATGCGTTGTTGGTGGTGTTGTCGTTGTTGTTGGGAGAAGGGTGTCCTTGTCCTGAACTGGGCAAGAAAGTATTAAACGAGGTCCTGTCCTGGGTGTGTAATGACGTTGAGCGGATCAGCAGCAGGCAGACAGGTTGGGGGTTGTTAACAGCAGGCTGGAGATGATGATGATGAGCGAACCCTTGAAAAAGACTTGACTTGACTTGACGGAAAGAAGAAGAGGCGAGCGTGTCCTGAAGTTGGGTGATGATGAGAAGTGAGAAGGAGATGATGAGCGGAAGGGAGAAAAGAGAGAAAGAGAAAGAAAATGATGAAGAAAAGGGGAAGGGGAAAGGGAAGGGGGAAGAGGACTAGGAGAAAGAGGAGAGGCGGACTGAGCACAAGTTGGGAGCATTCATTCAAACAAAGACCAGGGAATTGAATCAATAGAGAAAAGGACACCAGTCCCTCAGAGGACATGATAAAAAAGGGACAAGGGCATCCGGTGATTGGTCAATGGAGCAAAATGGACCTTATTCGTCTCTTCTTCTTTTTCTTCTTTTTGTTCAATGCTCGATAAATGGATCGATGGATAGAAAGCAACAGCTTCTTGCGGGTCCTCGTTCTTGCATGTCCTTCTGTCATTGAGGAGGAGGACAAGTTTACATAAGGAACTCGCCTGCTTTCTTGCTTCTCGTTTCTTCTCCATGAACTGTATACACTTACATCCAAGCATCTTTCTCTTTTATGATTCGAATCGAGAACGAGGAAAAAACAAGGTTTCTTACTTTCTCGCTCTTTCCCCTTTCTCATCCAACAGAACCAAACGCGCCTTGAATGGTGGAGTGGTTTTCTAACACCCGCCCATCTCTCTCTCTCTCTCTCTCCCTCTTTCTCTCCTTCTCTTCCACTACCTTCTTCCAAAAACGTTTGCAAGAATCCAAAATTCTAAAGTCATGGTCCCTGAAAGACATGCATACTATATACATGCATCCTTTCATCATAATCAATTTAAAAGAGTACATTCTACCCAACCCATTCCGTCCTTTTTTTTTTGCCTTTATTAACCCTCTTTTTCTCTGCGCTCGTTGAGAAAAAAGGCCGAAGAGTAATAACCTATACAGAACTCTGTCTCCAAACGACGATGAAGACCTCTTCTTTGTCTCCTTCGTCTCTCCCCCCTCCTCCCTCCATCCCGCCAAACGACCTCTTTTAGTCACACCTTAACCATGAACCATCCATTTTCAAGAAACCCTCAGAACAAGGCTGCCTCTTTTTTACAACACGCTATGTATGTCGCACCAACAAAAATGTCACACGAGCAAGCAGCAAAAAATATAGAAGACTCGGAAAGTAGACAGGCCTCAGGAAGGAAGGGCACCAACGAAACCGCTGCAAAAGAGAAAAGCGCCTTCTGTCCGTCCCTTTGTTTCAATCCTGCACACACCCCTTCCTCACGAACGAAAGATGGATGGGATGAAAAAGATCTATTGTCAGAGGGTTTATAGGGGTACAGTGCACATGGATTTATTTTTGTTTGATCCTACTCGACCGTTGGATATTTCTTGTTCCCCGGTGAAGGTCAGTTTAACCCGCACAGGTCTCTGGCCATTTGAACATGTGTCCACTGCTGCCTACGCCTTTTGAACGGCGTCTTTGCGTCAGTTGATCATCCAGACCCATGTGCGGTCGCTTGAAGTGTGAAAAAAAAGAACAACCACACCAAGCAAGGGCTCATTCAGAACTGAGAATAAAGATACAAGAATCCAAGACCCGCCCTTTTGTCAGTGAGCGGATCACACCCTCCATCTGCCATCAGAACCTTGAATTTTGTATCAATGGCTTACACATCCGCACCTGCTTTTTTTTTCTCCCTCTACTCAGGTCGTGGGTTCCATGGTCGAGAAAAGAACTCCAGCCCGTTCATCCTCGATGAAAGAGAAACAGAGAGTCGGGTCCACTCAAAACGGTGCCTAAACCCTAAACTGATACACACACACACAAATGTTCTCAACTGTATGCAGCATGTGGGATTGTTGTTGTTGTTGTTTATGAACAAAGAAAACCTTACTTTTGGTGTTGGGCCTTTTTGGTCGTGTGCGCATGAATGTGGGTGTAGGTGTGGGAGGATGAACTCTTTTTTTTTCCGTTTTGTTCACTTGTGCGGATATTCTCTGCCTTGGTTCCTTTTACTGCGTTTGTTATGTTTGTGTGTGTACCTTTGCTCTTTCATGAGCGCATGAGAGGCAAGGTAAGAGACGGAAAAAGAAAGAGGAAAAGGGAACGGCCAGGGGTGGAAAGAGCTTACTAACTAGACCAGAGAAAGGGGGGTTTGGTCGTGTGTGTTGTGGCTGGTCCCTCTCCATCCCTTCGGTGTACAAGTGTCACAGACAAACACGCCGCCAGACAAAAGTACAGTACCGCCACATTCAGATACGAGCGATGGCCTATCGTTGAAGGGATCAGTCAAGGCAGAAGTGATACATTACGGCGGTTATTTCTTTTTCGTCTTTCTCCCCCTTCCTCTCTTCCCTCTCCCCTGCCGGAGCTCTCCTGTCTCTTCCTTCCCTTTTCCTTCCCCTGGGCACTCTAGTCAGCACTATGTCATGGAGTCTTCTTTTATGGCACCACTGTTGTTCAATTGAACTTCTCTCGGCACTGCATCCATCCTAGATCATAATAGGGGGTGTTGAGGAAACACACTCCGAAGGAAGGAGTAAGACTCGCCCTGTACCATCACAATGCCCTGAATCATCACCTTTCAGCAGCCAATCTCCGCACAGCCCACAAAAAAACAGTCTCCCCTTTTCCCACCAAACATTCCCTTCTCCTCTGCTCCTTCTTTATTCATTCCACACAACCGACCAAGCAAGTAATGATCCCGAAGAAGCTCCCACCACTCCCCCCGATTCGCGACCTCATCCGTGTCTACGGCCTCTCTGCCAACCAAAAGTTTTCCCAGAACTTTATCCTCGACAAGAACGTCACCGGTAAACAACAGTCTTCCTTGAAATGAGAGCACATGCTCAGTTGCATTGAATGACAGAACACCCACGTTGTTTTATTCTCGCGTGGACATGTAAATGGATGCAAGAAGCAAATGACCAACCGTTATCTTGAACTTCTTTGCAAAATTGGCGTCTCCGTTTTTACCCATTTTTGCCCTGTGAAATAGACACGATTGCTCAGCATGCCAAAATCTCCGTAGAGGACGATCTCGTAGTCGAGGTAGGACCAGGTACGTAACACCTCAATGTGCATTCAATACACAGAAAAAATACTACAGCCCAACCTTCTCCCACACAGGAAACAGGACAAAGATGGAGAACGCAAGCTTTCGGAATAGGATTGGATTGTGGAGACTCAATTCCATCTGCAAAGTACTCACTTTTTGGTTGTTTGTGTTCTTTTGAATAATAATTAGGTCCGGGATTATTAACACGGTCGATTCTAGATGCGGGAGCAAGGCGTGTGGTTGTTGTTGAGAAGGATCCACGCTTTGTGCCTACACTACAGGTATGTTATAAGCATGCCGGAAATGGATATCGATACTCAGCTATCAATGTTGGACCATCACATTCTAATCGTGTTTGATCTGTTCCCGATTGGCCCTGTTAGCAATTGTCGGAGGCGTCGGATCAGAGACTCAAGTTTATTATGGGCGACATGCTGGAGCTGGATCATGCAGAGATATTCAAGACCGCACTGTCAATACCAAACGCCTTCCCTGTCGTCTCAACCCTTGAGGACGAACCATCTCAGGGACAGGAACAAGAACAGGAACAAAACAACATTGCCAGTGGGAGCAGCAGTTGGCCGGCAATGGACACCAACAACTCGACGATACGACTCTTGGGTAACCTACCCTTCGGCGTCGCGTCACCACTCCTGATCCAATGGCTCAAGATGATGTCGCTCCGTCAAGGGATCTTCCACGCCAACAATAATGTCTCAATGACGTTGATGTTCCAAAAGGAGGTTGCTGAACGGATTGTGGCGCCACCAAACCATCCTCAGCGAAGTCGTCTCTCTGTGATGGCGCAGGCGCTGTGTGATGTCAAGATGGCCTACAAGTTGTCTGCGGGCGTGTTTGTTCCGAAGCCCAAAGTCGATGCTGCTGTTGTGCACTTTGAAAAGAAGGCTGAGCCTCTCATGCCTGGTATGTCCAAGGTTTTTGTTCTTATTCACGTCTGTCATGGTAATGGGTAACGTCATAATTGCTAACCGTGTCACATTTCAACACCATGGTTTTTTTCATATCATTGTTCCAATAGGATCGCTGGTGAAGCTGGAGGATGTGGCGAGGTTTTATTTCAACAAGCGGAGAAAGACGATGGGGCACAATACGAACAGGATGGCCAAGTTAGCACCTGAACTGCGCCCGATTCTGGATGAATGGATTGCGGAAGGAGGGTGGGATATGAATATGCGGACACAGGAAGTGAGTACGGAACAGTTTTGTGCTCTTGCGCGGCGGTTAGACCAGGAGCAAATCAAGATCCCTCTCACTTAGAACGTGGACATCTACTTCTGATAATAAAGCACAAGTTGATAAGTGATTAGCGGCCATCGAGATTAAGGGTGATAGATTGATTGCCATTTGCTTAAGGAATGAGGCATTTTTTTGAGGCTTTGATTTATTTATCCCTTATTCCTCGTCCTTGCTCTGATTCCTTACTCTTCTTTTCTTTTCCATCCCTCTCTCCCACCCTTCGCAGACAAGCACACACCATGACCCGTACGTCTCCCCTCCTATTTTGTTCTCCTCCATGAATAACTCCTCTTTGTCCTATTCTGAATCCTGTCGAACCAAGCTCCGTCCATCTGACAAAAACACTCCTCAGTCAATCACTAATTGCCCTTCCTTGTCTTTCTTGTAATTGATGATTGCTAACTAGGTGGAAACCAGCGTGACCAGGACCGTCTCAAGGCCCAGAAGAAGTTGGCTGCTGCCAACAAGAGCAAGAACACCACCGGCGTCTCCCACACCAAGCGTGCCGAATCGTACGTCCTCAACACTCTCATCCCTTCCCTTCCCTTTTTTTTCGGTCCACTCCCCACTGTCCCCCTTTCCTGTTTCTCATCATCATTTCACCAGCTCGCCTTGGAGGTCATTGTAATGAGGGGGGTTCTTGGTATTGGAAGCAAGGGCACTGCAGGATAGCTTCTTCGACGCAAAGCTAATTATGGGGTTGACGGGAGATATCGATCGGGCAGGACTTTTGGAGGATTGGATAGAGACGATTAGGAAAGCATTCCAGCTCGGACAATACACAGCGGATCGGAACTTGGGTTAAGAAGGAATAGTGCCAAGCCAAAAATACGCACTAGTCCAGACATGGAGAGCAAACAAATAACTGGTCCTATGCGAGACAAGTAGACTGCGCCCTGTTCTATTTTAAACACACTTGCTTTGCCACCATCATTTTCACCAGCAACAACACACTGCAAAGTGTTAACACAGGTGTCAATTGCCTTACAGCTACACACATCCACAGCGCCTACAGTCAGTTCCCATACTCACCATTTTGCTTTATGTTTTGTTTACCTTATAGTGATGCCGAAATTATGAGAGCTAAGCAGGCTGCCAAAGATGCCGCCAAGAATGCAGGAGGTGGAGATGCTGCTGCAAAGAAATAAGGAACGAACACACGGGAAAACAGAGGCGAGCGGGCATACGGAATCATCAGGAATATCAAGGATTCCAGGACATTACGTTGTCTTTTGCCCGACCATCCTCTCCCCCTTCTACTGCAGATTCGCAATTATCTCTTCCATTATTTCGACCCGGGTCAAGCTTGACCAAAGAACACCCATACATACACCCCCATTCATCGCCACCCTTTTCCTATCATCAGTGCCAGCCTTTTTTTCTTTTTTTTTTCTTGGTGGAGTTTCTTTCGAGTACGCAAAAACTTCGATAATGTCGTGGAAAGAATAAAACGGACCAAAACAAGGGAGAGGCTTTATTTTCCATCGTGCATCATATCTTGGAGACGGCAACAGTGATTGGTGGGTGTCATGAAGAGAAAGGCAAGGTTGTTGTGACATTTGGAGATCACTATTTTTATTTCTTTGGAGGAAGGACGCATGGATCGCGCCTTGTTTTAGGAGAGAGGTGGAGTCCAGATCTATACCCCCTCATGTCCTTCCATTCCACCCCTGCACATCTAACCCCCTCCACCAAAAACACACACACCGCAACACAACAATCATTCTACTTGCAGGCAAGGGCAGGAATCGCCAGGGCGTAACACCAATCGCAACCTCTTGCCGCCTTCTGGCCGCCATCGCCACACACAGCGAGTTTATCAAGGTAGACGGAATTATACCTCGCCGACAACAACAACTCCTCCAATACCAGGTTCGCACCCATCCTCCTGTTCGATCTCGTAATCACCGTTTAGGACTTCACAAACGCGCAACCGTGGCCACAGGCCCACGAGACCAACGCACTGTAAGCTAATTAGTCACTGCATCGTTACAAAGCATTTGTACGAATCAACAACGCCAACAATATACTGTAATTGTGTTGAAGAGTTCAAAAGCGGTTGCCTTCTCAATGTCTCTGGTCTGGATGCGTCGTGAATCAATTGTAAAAATCCTCGAGACGTTTACACATGAAAACTGTTGATGTTCACCCCTCGAGAAGGGTCTTGTCGGAAGTGTGCAGGAAGGTGGTTCATGCTGTACTGTGAGAAAGGATAGTACCACAAAAAAAGTGTCGGGGAATAGGGCCAGTGAAAAAAAGGGGCTGTAGAATAAATCATAATATCGCCCAAACAAGTCTAGAACACCCCTTTCAAGTCAAGAAGTGTTTGTCGGCTCTCAGTGTGTGTTTTTGAGCTGCTGTGTCTTGTTGCAATCCATTAGCAGGTTTAAAATCATTTGTCCGCCGCAATCGCTGCAGCGTCAAAAATGTCTAGTTCCCCATCTAAAGTGTTCAAGTTTTTTTTTTCAGCTGATCTCTACTGCTCAAGCAGGGAAAGTGTCTTATCAAGATCGCGCCTCGGGAAAGCGTATCAAAAACACCAATTTTCTATCTAAGGGTTCCAATCGATTCACTTTCCCCCGTGCGCTAGACTGCGGCGTCCATCACAGCCTCTTACATTTTCTGGTCTCAGTCAGGGATGGCGAGAGATAGAGAGTGAGTGGAAGCGAATGAAAGCGATGGTGTATGGCTGTGAACTGATATAAAAGAAAAGGGACTGTGCATGAGGTTTTTTTCTTACGTTAAAAAAATACTGGTGGGGAATGACGAGAAAGAAGAGTGTCGTTTATTGATTTGGCCTCGTCAGGAACAAATATGTTCTGTCGAGGTTAAATAAAAATGGGCAGCTGCTTCTCAGCAGCACCCAACCTCATCAGCACCTCACACAGCACCTCATGCAACTTTTTTTTGTTGGCGGTCGACCCACACATGCTTCCCATGGATATCCATCTTCTGCTGGCTACGTTAAAGGAACTTTCTCGTGGCGGGTTACTGCTCCAATGCTTTTAATTTACCATTTCCCACCAGCTTTCTTCCAGTAGCGGATGAGCACGTTGATATCCGTGTTGACGTTGCGCGAGATGGTCATAACTCCCCCCCCGCCCCACCCCCAAGACCTGCGCGAGCCGGGGTCCCGGGTAGGTCATGCAGTTGCTCTCCAACCCAGTTATCAACTGTTGTGACATATGTTGGAAATCGACTTTGGCTCCATTTTTTGAGCGCAGGGCCTGAGCTCCGCTTGGGGATAGGGTCACCGACCTCGTCTTTGGTCTCGACGATGATGATGTGGAGGCTTTCCTTGGCACGATTGAAATTCGGCCCTAGTAGCGGGTTCCGGGCCACGTGGTAGTACTGGTCCTCCAGCTGGCGGAGCACGTTCCGGGTCCGCGTGAGCTCGTCGAGAACGCCGTTTTCGTGACTGTTGCAGGCCGCACGGTGGTAGAGCTGGACGGGTGTGTTCGCCGCTACTATAGGGGAAAGAAGAGAGGTTGAGAGAGAGGAGAGAGAGAGAGAGAGAGAGAGAGAGAAAGAGTGGGAGGATGGTTGATCAAAAACAGTCGTTAGCCAGCATTCAACGCCTGCACGACCAGAAATGGCCCAGCAGCAGGACAAAAGGCCCCCCCTCCCCCTTCCTGCCATACCTGGCAAAGCAACCAGAGCGGCAGCAGACAGAGCAAGGAATGCGATAACCGATGTGAACTCCATGGTTAAGTGTCGAGTGGAAAGGAAAGGAGTGAAGAATGGCGGGTTTTGCACACAACGAGGGCGCGTTTTTAATGGGGGTTTCTCCTGATGGGCTCCAGTATCCCCGGGAGATGCAAACAAAAGTCTCTCTTTTCATTGCCCGTCTTCTCTCACCTGCTTGTGGCGCACCCTTTCTCAGCCAATTTCATCTGAGCATATAAGCACTAACACATGAAAGAGGAGTGGAGCTCTCTGATGTATCGAGAGATTCACGCAAATCAATATGAACATCACATTGTTGGGTTAGAGAGTGGGCAGCTCTTGGCTCGCTAGCCCCCGCGAGCAATTAAATTCGTAAAAATCGGGCACGACATGAGCAGAATGGAAGCTCCGTCTGGGGGCCGAGACGAGTGTTCTAGCGGCTTTTAATTTATATCACAATGGAGTCATGGATGGGCATTAGATCTTTGAATGAGATCGCCACAGCGGTCGAGAAAACGAAATGAGGATGGTGGTAGTGACTGTGGCAATGACAAAAAAATTAAACATGGGGGCCATTAACTGGCTTATGGCAGCCAAGAGTCCATAGCGACGTTGCTTTTTGATCCTTTGATCTCAGCTATTTCCCTTCTCCATGTAAGAGAATTTCAGGGCGTGTTGTCGATGCTATTGTTCTATTGTACTAATCGTTTTTATTAACGGACTCTATTTTCGCTATGCTTTCGCGCACCAAAATTATTGATAGGCTATGCGAACGCGTTGTTACAAAACCAAGGAGTGAACAGATGTAATGAGAATAACATGTTAAGATAGAAGAGGCGCAAGTAAATTTGGGGTACAGGTGCATAGTGCAGGTACATATACTTCTAGAAACAACAAACGTGAATGTCGAAATTGAGAGCACAAACAACTAAACCCAAACCTTTCTTCTCAGTTAGGACAAGGAAGTATGCGCCCAGGTTCGCGGCCGAGCAGCACCTCCACTTGACCCCGAAATTGTTGACCGGAAATCGAGTACGAGGTTGAAGCCATCTTGGATCACCGCACGAGGCGCCGCAAGACCGCGTTTCTTGTCAAATGGCTCAGATACGATGTAGCTAAAGGCTCTACCTGAGTCACTTTCAAGGACATGGCGAATTGCCCGAACATTCTTCGCGGGTACTATTAGGCACACGACCTACTTCATTTATTAGGGGAAGGTGTTACTGTATTATAGACTGTATATGATGGTATGCTAATCTTTTACTTCGCCTCCATCATCGCGTTCCCACCCACCATGCTTCCAGCACTGTGCTTTTGTACGTTAATATAAATACATCATCTCTCTGTATAATAAACATCGTCCATTTCTGTCTCCTGCACCTGTCTACTACTCTCCTTCTAATGCTCTGACAGAGATCTTGATAGGTCAACCTTTGCTTGGAGGAAGAATGTGCCCTTGTTCTCGCTGCGGATGTTGACTATGGGTCCGAGCAAGATCTCGACTGAGTTGGCCATCCCTCTGATGGAATGTCCTAGAATTAGTTGTTGGAGGGCATTTGCTTTTGATAGGAGTAGGCCGTATGTATTTTTTTAATGTTGTGCTCTGTTTGTGGCATGATGTCTGGTGGCGGAAAGAGCAAATGAAAGTATATATGATGATGAAGCAAAAGGTGAAAGAGTTCAGGTGAAAAAGCAGATCATGTTGATTTTCTCATTTTTAACTTGTGTGATCAATCTGACGTTATCATGTTCAAAGCGCGTTTTCACGTGTTAGGTTTTCCTGAAGTCAACGCTGTGCAAGAAGATATGATTAAAATAAAGGACTACGAGGGAATCGGGGTATGAATGCAACGGTAGGGGATGAACATTTCATCAAAAAAAAAAAAAAAGAGTCGAAAGCACAAAAAGATTGGTGAGCACTTTATAATGCAAACTGCAGTGGAAATACTGTGCAGCAGTTTTTATTTCACTTTGAACAATATATTGGGTTTTGGTCGAAGATATTTCAACATTAAGGGCAGAGTGTACCTAGGCGCATGTGTAAGTTGAAGCGCTGCATCGACCCGAGCAGCATTCATATGGAGCATCGCATTCATCTCCAGGGAATACGCACATGGACTCGCGGAGCGACGATTGACGACTAGAGCCTCGGGGCAACCAGCGATCGAGGGATCCGAGGCGAGCTTTAACGCCATACACGCAGAGAAGATGGTACTGAGGAGGGTAGCCCATATCCCTGCAGATTTCGGGTTCGTTCTCGGCATGGGTTCCACTTGGACACTGGTCAGGAGATCGAACACAGCCAACGCGGGAGGCGACTCTGGCAAGGGGGGCTGGGTCGCCGCCCACACAGAGCAGATGGTACTGAGGAGGGTAACCCATATCCCGGCAGATTTCGGGCTCGTTCTCGGCATGGGTACCGGCAGGGCAATCGTTGACGTTTAGGACACAGTGGCTGAAGGCAACCGTGGCAAGGGAAGCTAGAATGGTGAGCTTTATCAAGTGCATCGTTGAGAAGATTCGAAGTGTGACAGATGGTGATGGTGGGTGACCCAAAAAAAATAGCGAAAGGGCCAGTATTTATGGTGTTGTCAATTGATGGTGTCTCATTTGAAAAAGGAGTGGGAACATATTTTGGTTCTCTGTTGAATGTGTGGCAATAAGAAATAGGTGAATGAAGTGTTATATGCATTGTGTATAATGAGGTATTTTCTCTGTTCATGCGCTGTGCATGCTCTTTTCTTTTCGATACCCAGCCCATGTACATTCTCACACCCCTATTCTCTGACTATGCACTACCCACACGCCATTGCACGTTCCTATATCTTTTCTCTGTACGCGTTGAGCATATTTTCTATATCTTTCGCTATCTACGTTCCTACATGTCTCCATAGCCCCTTTTTTCTATTTATGCGCTTGTGGTTTATCTCTCACTACCTTCGCATGTTTCCATAGCCCCTTTTTCGGTTCATGCGCTTTGCATAAATTTGATTTACCGCAGAGTTTTGCTGAATGATGGGAGATAGCGTCACTTAGGATAGGATGACTGGCTTGCGGCAGCCAACCGTTCCTAGAGACGTTGCTTTTCGATTCTTCGATTTCCGCTCTTCCTATCATACTGAAGCGAATTCAGTACCCGCTGGACAATTCGCCCACTTATAGGGAACGTGAGCTGGGTTTAGACCGTCATAAGGCAGGTTAGTTTTACCCTACCGATGAAATATTATTGCAATAGTAATTGAACTTCGTACGAGAGGAACCGTTCATTCGGATAATGGGTATTTGGGTCTGCCTGAGCAGGCAATGGCCCCAAGCTATCATCCATTGGGTTATGGCTAAACGCTTCTAAGTCAGAACCCGTGCTAGAACGCGACGATTACCGCCTTTTTCCGATTTTTAGTCGAATACGAATAGACCCTCGGGTCCAGGATCATACTACGCGGGGTTGTGTTGCAGAGCGGAAAGGCTTTGTGATGTTCCCCATTAGTGTCAATTTCAAATATTGTCGCCGCCCATTTGCATTCCCACATACCCATTTCATGCGGATACCCTGTAGTTTTTTACTTCTATCTAGTCGTTTCTTCTTTCCTGTTCCTCAGCGCTCCAACTAGCCACCTTCCAAGGCCGCCCTACTTTATCTATTTGGATCATGCATATCCATTAATGTCAACACCCTTCATTCGCCATTGCAGCTCATGCAACGATACCTCTCAATCATAACGCGTATCATCCGCAAGAAACTTTCTATATGGTACTGAAAAAAGTGTACCCTGAGGGGTATCGGAACGGAACGATGGGAAAGTGACCGAATTTAATAGAACCAAAGAGGTTAAGGAGAAAAGGTTTTTGTTTTACTGAATGAGGTGTTCCGCTTAATGGCAGACCCACAATTGAAACTTCATCTGCCAATGTTACGTGCTCTTTGGCAGTTGCCGTACCTTCAAGACTTAAGGCAATGGGATGTCGCTGCAAGATGGAGTAGCATTGTTGCCTTAGATCACATGAATCTATGCACACTATTTCTTTCTTTCTTCACACAGGATAGGGAGCTTGATTGTATGCACACTTTCTCTTTCTTTCTTTCTTTCTTTATTTGCACAGCACACGGGACATGACTTTAGGCATATTTTTTCTTTCTTTATTCACACTGGCCTCAAGACACGACTGCGTAGAGAGAAGGTCTTACTGGGGGGGCTTTTTTGATTAATACTCGGCTCGTCAACAGAATGTATTCTCTTTCCAATCGGTAGCTATAAAAGCGTCCATGGTTTCTTTCAGTTTTTTTTCTCCAGAACCTCCGATCCACAAGCAAATACAGTAAAATGCCATCTTGTAGTTTTGGCCCCTGCACAGTATTGACATTGTTACCATGCGAAGCTCGCCTTACCCATCGAACTATCTTCACTTCTCTCTCCCTACTCAGATAGCCAATTCACTCTGCAAGCAGCTTTTATCCTCTTCGTACCATCTTACTCAGGTTTTAAACGGTGAACGAGGTAAATGTGACTCTCTCTTTGTAATCCGTTTGCGTGGCTGCCGTGTATCTTGTGCCTGGACTTTTTCACGAAAAGAAATACATATCCCCCCAACTTCGTACTCATGCTATAAATTTTCTATATAGACATCTCATGAAAATTCCTGTTTTATTCATTCTTGCAGTCTTCACGCTGCAGGTTTGTGAAAGCAAGGTCTCGGTCAAGCCGGGATTTACCAAGAATCTTCTCGATGTTATTGGAAACTGGCTAGGAATAGCACAGCCCAATTTGGGAGATTGGTATGCCGCCTCTCATCAGTGCAACTGGCCTTGGATCAAACACCTCGTTCTAAACTGCCCCACATCGATGCCGCCAGAGGACGTTGAGCTGGAGCCTGAAAGCGAGCCCAAGGCTGAGGCCGCATTCACGAGAATGGAGGAGGCGCCATTCGACCGCGATACAATTGCCAAGATGACATTCACAGAGAGGAGTCAGTTCTTTAGTCCCTGTTTCGACAGCCCGCAACTCTTTATGTTGTGCACAGAGAAGGCCTGGACGGTTCTGGGTATGGATATGTGCGAGGTTTGGCATCATGTCAGGGATTACGAAGGCTTTTGTGGTGGAACGGACGGCAACCCTTGCTACTGCATGAATCACCAATGCTCGCAGGACAGACTCGACAGATATAATGACAATGTGCCAGAGGAGTTCAGGATCGACAAATACACAAGACTCCCTAGATTAGATTGGGAACCAGTCCGGATAGATCCTGTTCAGAAAGAGTGGTGCGATCAAAACATTGCGTTAGGTCGCGAGCTGTATGTGGAAAGATGGGGTTGTTGAATGTAGGTGCAGTGGGTTGGTTGGAGAAGTCGTTTACCATCCATTTACAATACATTGATTATTCTCTTAATCTATATCCCCTTCCCTGTTTTGCACCCAAAATTTGGGTGCAATTTGGGTCCAAATCACCTGTCTTTTTTCTTTCCGCTGCGATAATGAAAATACTATTATGTCAGACCCCCCCAGTCATTGTGTCTCCCACTACACGAAAAGCGACTCTGACGGTGGACAAGTCGACATCTACATCAGCATCAACCCTCGATTAACACAACCAATCTACCCATTATCACTTTTAAACCTTATTTTTTCTCCATGCAACACCAAGACATCCTCTTTCCCGATCGAAGTACCCTTGACAAAGTGCAGCAGCATATGGAGAGTCTTCGTCTTATGACCAACAGCGCGTTCCTTAACGACCTGGACATGTTGGAAGAAGGTTTCACACAGGTCCTTCTGCATCGTCCCGATTCAAGCGAAACAGAGCAGGAACAGGACGATCAAGAGGTCGACGCTTTGAATGAAAACATAGGGGCAACTGGAGGAGATGGAGGACCTGGTGGTGAGGGCACTGTTCAGGGAGGAGAGGGTGGACCTGGTGGCGAAGGTGGGGAAGGAGTTCTTGAAGGAGATACTGGAGGAGATTGGAGGTCAGGAGGAAATGGCGATGAGCAGGGTGGAGATGGTGGTCCAGGAGGTGCTGGAGGTAATGGTGAACGTGGAGGTCGAGGAGGAAGAGGTGGTCAAGGAAGTACTGGCAAGCGAGGAGGCCGTGGTGGCCGTGGTGGCCGTGGTGGGAAGAGTACCGGAAGCAGCAGTCAAGGCCAAACTGGACAACCAGGACCTCAAGGAGAAGACGGAGCAAGCCTGGGCGTAGCAAGGTACGTCCATTTCTTTTTTTTTCTTTTTTTTTGATCCACTCTTGAGTTGCATTGCTGTTAACATCAGTCTCTTCCGCTTAGTCTTCTTTCGGAGTGCGCTTGCTACTCGTGTTGATTGACCAGTTCGTATATGTTTTCTTTGATGTAGTTCAACGCTCCCTGTACCACCACCATACGAGCCGATCAACCAGCATTCAAAACCTTAACCAACAGGAGTGGCGCTAGATTCAAACTCGCGTTACCATCATGACGCCTTTGTTCACAGCATTCCCGACCAAGTCACCATCAACCCTTCATCCTTGTCCTTTTTTCGACTATTTTTCCCCGACAATATTCTCGATATCATCGTCAACAACACCAACAATTACGCGCAGCACAAAGGAGCCTTCAATGACGATCAGCGAACATGGTTCCCTCTTACAAGACCAGAGCTTTTGAGGTTCATCGCCCTTTTGTTGTATCGTGGCCTATTCCCATCCGCTCAGCTGGAGGATTACTGGTCCAAGGACAACCGTTTCCCGGTCCACAGGATCTGCTCTTTGATGACCCTTGTCCGATTCGAGCAGATCAAGCGGTACCTGCACATTTCCAATCACACCGTCCCTAATGTCAACTACTACGATAAAGTCCAACCCTTGATGAGCCATGTCCAGACTGCCTCCCAGAGATACTATGTCCCAAAAACATCTGTCTCGTTTGACGAGATGATTGTTCGATTCGGTGGTCGCAGCCAACACACCTATCGCCTCAAAGGCAAGCCCACACCAGTTGGGTACAAAATCTTCGCCCTCTGTGATTCTGGATACACCTTTACGTTTCTTCCCGAGTCCCGTGTGTCTGAGCCTAGTGAACTGACTGACAAGACTACCGACAAGGACGAACGCATTTCCATGACAGGAAGAAAGGTCTTGTTTCTTGTGGAGCAGCTCCCCTTCCAGCGTCTCGTTTTCAATGTTTACATGGATAATTATTTTTCTACCGTTCCCCTCTTCAAAAACCTGCGCAATAGGCAGATTGGTGCATGTGGTACTTGTCGAACACATACACCCGACTTCCCCAAGGAACTCAAGGGCTTCAAGGATGCACGTTTGGATTGGGATGAGAAGGGAGCAGTTGTTGTCAAGGATGTTCTCGTGCTTTTGTGGATGGATAACGGACCTGTCACCATGATGTCAACAATCCACTCTCTTCATAACGACGACTGGTTTATCGAGAAAGAGAGACGAAAGCCTCGGACAACAAGTACCAACGCCACCAAAGTTCACAGAGTGTTTGGTGATTCCCATCGCAAGATGCTCAACATCCCTCGCCTAGTCAATGATTACAACCTCCATATGGGAGGCGTCGATATCGCGGATCAACTTCGACAGTATTACACCACCCAGATGCGCACTCTTAGAAACTGGTTTCCCTTATTCCTGTGGCTATTGGACACTGCAGTTATCAACGCCTATATTATGCGATCCATACATCTGTACCGCAAGAGCCCAAGAGGACCACATCGCGAGTTCCGTCTTTGTTTGATTCAACAGCTCCAAGAGTTAGCCCAAGCTGAGGAGGTGAATCTCGAAATCACCATCACAAGAGCAGGAGCCAAGCGTGCAAGGTTGGACTCCACTCAACAGCCAGAGAAGGAGGAGACTGCCAAGTCTAACCGTCCAGATTCATACATGACCAAGCACCACCACTTCCTCGACCCAGTACGCTTCTCTTCTGGCCCTCATCTGCCCTCCTATGTCGACAACCGTCTGGCCTGTGTCTGGTGCACTGTCCAGGACAAGATCCAAGGCATTCCTCATAGACGTATTCGAACCAACGTTGTTTGTTCATCATGCAATATCCCTCTTTGTTTCAAAACCACCGCCAACTGTTATTCCTCTTATCACACCGTACTCTAACCTTATTATTTGATTGAATACTTATTGAATTAAAAAAAATTGGACCCACATTTTGGGTGGAAATTTTTGAGCTGGGGGTGGATAGGGAAGGGGATAAGAACAAAGTTGATCGACGCGTCTATGACCTTGAACGGATCCGTTTTCTGGAGCCCAAACAATGTGCCATGATGTTGCAGATTAGAAGGCAATGGTATACGACAGGACCGCGGTAGAAAGGAAAGAGAGATAAAGCAATGGACAAGTGGTTAACGTCTGCGTGGTTGCTGTAAGGCTGCAGTGAACAAAGAACAACAAATAACATGAAAAGATGCAAGCAATAGCACTGCCGAAAGCAGACGCCGAGCGGTCCTACCCGCCAGCGCAAAGAGGAAGAGAAGCACAACCAACCCATCCTCCTCTAGCTCCCATCGCGAGTGATGAGAGCACCACTTCCGAACAGAAACCGGACAGGGACAGGTCCGACCCTAATGCGCCACATTACCCTCCACCCGTCACACAGTCGTCATGAAGGCGAGGTGTACCAAGCATAATACCAGTCCCTTCGACCGCAATGAATTGCTTCTCGACATCCGGAAAGCTCGGAGTGCCTGACCCTCTCCATTCAGACCCGCAAGAAAAGCAAAGGCAGATAAGAAAGAGTATTGTCCATGGACAAGTATCGAACGGGCGTTAATGAGTTCGACTCGGATCGACGTGGGTGAGACAGGCATACGAGACTGCCGAGAAGCATGCGAATCGCATGTGTGTTCTTCTCATACCAGCCTCGCTCAGGGGTGCCAATAGTGAGCTTGCACCTTGGTAGTGAAAGACATCGAGAGCGGATTGATGATTAAAATATGAATGGAAACAGGACAGTGGGCGCGAGAATTACGTCAGCGAAGCTGCCAGGAAACAGGCAGAAAGGTAGAAGGATGTAAGGAGAAGGATGTGCTTAGGCTAGTTGATTTATTGCAACACAAGGTTAACAAAGAAGGTCTACATACTTATCCCTTCAACCGTTTTAGAATCGAAATCTTTTCTTTTTTCAATTTATCAAGGTTTCCGATAAAATGGGTTGGGAAGGGTCCCGTGCCGTCCAATGAAAACAACGAGAGTTGTCGTTTCCCAGCTTGCCTCATTACCACCTTCGTTGTCAAATTCGACCTTTTTTTTCTCTCTCATCATCTCCAAAGCCTCCGTTACTGTCTCCCTCACAAAGAAAACTTCGCCCAACCTACTCATGGACCCAAGCTTCGAGTTCCTACGTTCCTTTGACGTTTCTAACGGTCAAGGTACTAGCACACTCACTTCCGAGGAGACAGAGGAGTTGTCGTTTTCGGTCATTTGCCGAACTCGAGAGATTCCCGGTGAGGATGATTCCGATGATGAAGAGCGACCACCAGAAAGAGAGCAACCGGCGGAAGAGGAGGTGTCCCCTGCATTCTTAGCTCTCGCGAAAGCGAAGAGGGCTGGCAAGAAAGTCGCCCGCGAACCCACAGAACTCTCAGCCGTCCCTGACTTCAAGGACGTCTTCAAATACCAAAAAACAGTATGCTCAGCACAAACCAACCTTCCACTTGCACTTCAACCCGACAGCGAACTATCACCATTGACAATTTCCACACTCTTCTTCTCCGACCCGGTATTGCCGGATTTGGCAGACAATACTAACGCACATGCAGCATCAAAAGGAGCCGGCACAGGAGAGGAATCGCGCTAATGGGTAAAAACCACACCTGACGAACTGCACATATTCCTCGGCATCATCTACATGGGCGTGATCAGGCAGAACTCTATCTCTGAGTATTGGTCAACCTTCCCTGAATGTCCTCAACACAACATCACTAACTTCATGTCCCTCGTCCGCTTCGAACAACCGAAGGGTTTTTTTCATGCCTCCAACCCCAACGAGCCTGAGCAACATTGGTTCTCAAAAGTAGAGCCTCTTTCGACCAAACTCGCTACCGACTTCGCTCGTTACTACGTTCCCTCCACCAATGTGTCCATCGACGAGATGATTGTTCGCTTTTCAGGAAGGAGTGCTCACACCGTACGCATGAAGGGTAAGCCTACCCCGGAAGGCTACAAGATTCTCGCTCTTTGTCAATCAGGATACACCTATTCCTTCCTCTACACCTCTCGCATCAAATCCATCATTGGCATAGACAGGATAAACGGGCTTACTCCAACCTCTTCCGCTGTTGTTCGTCTCGCCAAATCACTCCCCTACAAGACTCGTCCATTCAACATCTACATGGACAACTATTTTTCCAACATCCCGCTTTTCAAGTACCTACGTGGACTCAACATCGGCGCTTGTGGTACCACCCGCATCAACTCAGCCTGCTTCCCTGACACTTTGAAAGTGGGTAAGAGTGAGAAACTACAATGGAATACCCTGACAGGAGTTGTTATCGACAAACAGGTTCTTGCCGTCGTTTGGATGGATAATGCATCCGTCACCATGCTGAGTACCATCCACAAAATCAACACGGATGATGACTTCATTGAGCGTATTCGACGCTGCCCTCGCAACACTAGCACTAACACAGCCAATGCTCGGGCAATATTCAATGGCAAGCCCAGAGCGGCACTCAGAATCCCCAAGTTGATTGATGACTACAACCACAACATGAATGGCGTCGATGTCAGTAACCAGTTCAGGGCATATTACAGCACCCAATTAACCGTGTTCAGGACATGGATGCCTATCTTTTTTTGAATTCTCGACACCACCATCATCAACGCCTATCGAATCTATGTCGTCCAAAAAGGATCCCTTTCCCACAAAACTTCTGTCTCAAGTTGGCATGGGATTTGATCAGGAAGGGAGCAGAAAGCAAACAGCACATGTACTACAGCAAAAAACGGACACGAGTTCACAGAGCCACCAAACCAAAACCAACCAAGAAGATATATGTTACCAAAAATTGCTCTGATCTGCCCACCATCCGTTTCACCCCAAGACCCCACTCACCCATAATTCTCGACCAAAAATCCAACTGCTTTTCTGTCGCTTCAGAGCCACTGTCTTCGACGACAAAAACCACGATAGGAAAACTCAAACGGTCATAACCTGTGAGATCTGCAATGTTGCCTTGTGTATGTCAAAGGCCCGCAATTGCTTCAGAGAATTCCATAAATCGTAGTTGTAGTTGACACCATAACCAGTAATGAGAAGCACAAAAAATAAAGGCCCCTAATGCCTAAACACCCCTTTTTAGATTGTTAACATATGGCGGTGCATGTGACTAGCACGAATTTTTTGAATGTGTGAACGGTTAAAAAAATAAAGAAAGGACCGCCTGTCGCGTCGCGTCGCTGGGGAGCAAATAAAATGTCCTTGGGCTGCCTTTTCCCACTCCAACACCTTTGCCAAGTTCGCTCATGGAATCCTAAGTGGACATCGTTGATCAGGACAGAGATCCAAACCAGAGCTACACCTAGTCTTCTGTAAGTGCATCGCTCTCCGTCTATTGGCGTCAGCTTGGATGACCAATCAATACCAGGACCTCGCTAACCCCATGGCCGACTTTACCTCATTCTGTCAACAAATCAACTGCTCACGCGCCAGAAACCTTGCCACAGTAAGCTGACTTTTTGTGATTGGCAGCCAACTTCCCACCCTTTAAACCATAAGGAATGTACTGACGTCATTGTCAACAAACAAAAAAACCAATTAGACTCAATCGACCAACTTCTGACATCCAATCACTGCGACCTCCACCCCACCCCTCCACACACACACACACACACACACACACACACACGCACACGCACACATCCGCACGGCTCACGCCCCTGCTTCATTAAGGTATTATCACGTTTCAAATCCGCCGACATTGTCCGCCCAATGTGGTGTTTGTTTCCATCTTCTGATGAGCTTTTCTTCATTCTTTCCTTTACAGTCAGTCATGGGCGTCAACGGACTCCCAGGAGAGATAAAGAACGCGACGGGCATTGCGCCGGCGAAAATGAACGGCAAAGAATTTCACGTCGACATGAACGGTACCTACTACGGGTTGATGAAGGCGCGAGCCTACTCTGTCGTACAAAAATACACGACCACGCTGACGCGCGACACCGAGCCCGCTAACCTGCACATGCCACAGATGGAGGATGCGCCAGAGCGACCCGAGTCGACAGACTCGGCCTCCCCAGACCCGAACGATGCCCAGGCGGACCTTCTGAGACGTGCGAACATGCTCTTTGGTCTCAAAGATAAGCTTGCTATGGTGACGAGTGGACCCAACAGCCCCGACTCTGTCGTCGTTGACAAAGATGGGATGTTACAGGATGGCACGGACCAACAGAGAGTTATGGTAATGAATCTTCTTGAGGACTGAATGCAGGATTTAGCATGGGTCCACTGGTGATTATTTACTTGATTAGTTAATTATCATTTGCTATGTCGTCGTTTGCTTGAAATAGTTCTTCGGTCACATTGCAGATGAACTGTACAGGAAGCTTTCTCAGTTCTGTACTCCCGAAGACGAATCTGTCACCCTTCACTTCGATGGAGAGCCATCCATTCAGAAACAGGCGGAGCACCGAGCTCGCGACGACAAGCTGCGTAAGGGCACCGACGCACTTCACCAAGCAATCGAACAAGCACGTGTGGTGGGTGGATCTCGTCGAAAGGCTGCTTACAAACGGTGCAGGAATCTCTACAAGCCAACAACCGTAATTCAAGGAGAAGTTATAGCGGAGTTGATCAAAAAGTACGACTGCCATGTATGCCTTTGCCGCTTTCAGTCGGATACTTGCATTGCCAAGCTTTGTGCCCAGTCTCCAAATCCCCAGGACATCATTGTTGTCTCCGGTGATTCGGACTTGATTTGTTTCGGGGCTGTGCCGAGAGTGTTGTATCCGATCGGCAAGTCAAGAGAGCTCACTCTTTTCGAAAAGGATGCGATTTTGGAGGTCCTCGATTTGCCTTCGGAGCGGCATTTACTACTCGCGGCTGTTGTGACGGGCAACGACTACACTCGAGGGGTGCCATATTTCGGGATCAAGAAGAACTGCGAGATTATTCGGGAAATGGAGCTACCCGGCTCTGACGTCGAATCGTTTCGTTGGTACGTCCACGAGTTTCTCGTTCGAGTGCGACACCAGCTTCTTTCCGAGAGAGTCCCTCGGAAGAAACGAAAACGAATCGACTCGCAGCTATCGGCTACGGTTGAAGACTTCGACCATGCTTTATCTGCCTTTGTGGGCGTCCAGGAAGATGCCGTATCCTCCGTTGATCAGAGCCCACACCCCCAGCCCTTTACCAGTCAACAGCACACATCGATTGAGCAGGGAGGGCAGCGAGGCTGTAATGCGCACGAGATTGTCATGAGGGCCCTGCTCGATCTTGAGTACCAGAAGGTTGCAGAGGTTCAGGCACGTGCGGCAATGGGATTCACACCACCGATGGAGGACAAGAGGCCAGCTCCCAAAAAGAATGTAAATCGGACCAGGACAGCGAAAACGCAGCGAGCTCGCCGGGAGGCAGCGAAAAGGAACAGGAAACGTAAAAAATGGAAGAAATCCAGGTAAGACAATCTCACATTGACGTCTCCGGGTTTGCACAAGTTATGGAAATGTTTAAGTCTCTCTAATTATTATTTTTTGTGGTTAATTAGGTTCAAGTCTCGCACTGACAATCAGGTTCGGTACTCTCCCCACAGGGTCAGTGATCCGTCGACAGCCACCCCTGTTTCTGATAATCAACTGTCGACAATGTCCCCGTCACAACCAAAAAAGCGACCCGTCGACAAGCAGCCCAAGGCTGTTGAAGATTCGCCTTCAGCATCCTCGTCATCGTCGACAGACCACTCGTCGAAGAACAAAAGACGGAAGGCGTCATCCAAGAAAAAACTCGCGAGACCACGCGACATCGATGCAACCCCAACAGCACCAAAACTCAAGGACGCTTTCAAGTTTGCTTTTCCGACGATAACCCAGACAGTTGGTTCCTTGAAAGGATGCCTGCGCCGTAGCCTTCGACCCCTCGGGATCTCTGATGACCAAGTCGACACCATTGCGAGCCGCCTGGAGAAGGCCACGAGCCTGATCAATGAAGCTCGTCCCCACGTGTTCAGGATGATACAGCTGTTTTTACTGGAAGAAGTCACAACAGCGTTTAGCCCGCAAGGAGCCTCAGGGGAGACGAATGTCGATCTGCTGGACCTGGTGATGAACAAGGCTTCCGGTCAGATGTTCATCCGTGGATTAATGTCGTTGGCCTTGAATGGAAAGATTGTTGAGAAAAAGTGCAAGAAGTCCGAGTCCATCCGTGCTCGAGAGCTCGCACAGAGGGTCTATGCCCGATACAAGACGATCATTCCCCACTTTTCGCCCATTAACACTACCGACATCCCCCTGGGCGACATGCAGATGGAGTTTGGACTTGCCACGATGGTATGCCTCCACACACACTTCAGTCTACTGTCACCGGAAAGGTATTTATTTCTTTCTTGTTTGAGTTATGTTTGATGCGATGTCAAAGTGTTTTTCGTACTCTAACAATGTCTTACCCGCGCATTTGTGTAGATGGTAAAACTGGGATGGAGCAAAGACATCATACCTCTCGTTGACGGAGACGTGCCTCCTGAAGCCCAACGACAGCAGGACAACGACGCTCTAGACGAATCTCCAACGACTGCGCCCCTGGGATCAGACGAATATGCGGCCGACGACGACGGATGCTACAAGTTCAAGGCGGGCTTTCTCAGGGATTGGTGGGACCACTTACTCTCGCTACCTGCAGAGAAGCGACCTGTGTTCTGTCCTCAGCCGAAGCTTCGGGATGCGTTTGTGATGATACCGGAGCGAGCAGTGTGGAGAATTCTATGGGGAGGAACTGCGAGGAACAATCCAGCCAAGACGATCGTGGAGACGATTTTGAGTCGCGCGGAGGCGTCGGATTGTGTTGATTCGGACTATGGAAAAGTGCTTGAGACGCTTTTCTATGGGCGAAGAAGACCCGTTGGCCACGACAACGACGGAGGACCAGACCTGAGACGGACACCCTACGCAAAACGGACGACAAGAATGGCAGAACTTGCGGAAGGTGATCCTTCTAGGTTTGGTTATCGGTCATTGCAGGACTACTGTAACAGGAAGCTGGCCTACCTTCGAGTTGCTGCGAACTGTCGGGATGAAGGAGTACCATGTACGCAATCACCGCCAGAGTTTCCCGCCAACCCCTGTACAAAATCACGCTATGCTTTGAACAATATGATTCGAAGTAACGGCTTGGAGCTGCAGGTCCTCGCCTACGACACCAAACACGAGCCACATGGAGCCCTGGACCCAGTCATGCGTATCGAAAAAGTATTACCTGACGAGGACGCTATCGCCAGGATATTCCAGGGGAAAATACCAAAGTGTCGCGGGTGGGACCCTGGGGAGTTGGTGACGGCGGCTTTATGTCTGATCGAGCACGAACGTGAGTGGAATGGAGCACCAGACCCTGGGGATCCACCTGTGACCAACCTAATGATACGTCGAGCAGCTTTATACTCTCCCACCACTGCAGCTCGATCCGAAAGAGAGAGAGTCAAAAACAGGAAGCTTCGAGTGGTGCCGGGCGAGAGTATCGATGGAGGAATTTGGGCGAGGGGTGTCGATCCAAAGGGAGCCAGGACAGACGTACAGTCCATTCAGGAGATCGAAAGCTGCTTGCCCCCAAAAGGCCAAGTAACCGTGGAGGATTTCGAGGATGCTGTTCGTGTTAGAGTGTCTACGGAGCCCTTGCTTCGGGAGTTTGAAGGCTCACTACACATGAAAAAAGCCGCCTGGGAGGAGAAGAAAGCCGTTCGTGCCGAACTGGATATGGCTGTGGCTGCAATCCTACGCCTTTGTGGACCGGAGCCGTGTCTTATTGCTATTGGCAACGGCAAGTTTCGAACGGGGATAAACTTGGCTTCCAAGCATGAGACATTGCAGAGTCATTTTGCCAAGAAGGTACCGTCATTATGCCGCGACAAACAATTATTTACTTGCTCAATTGTCAACGTTATGCTATGGGACCGTTCAATAACCGTCAATCTTCTATCTAACGTAGGCGCGAGCACATGGCCACCTTGTCGTTTTGGTTGATGAATACCTGTCCTCGACCGTTTGCCCAGCTTGCACTGCCCGAGGAGAGACCTCCAGGATGGCAAAGCCGACTTCAAGATCTTGTGTCTGCCTCGCCTGTGGTCGATGGATCAACAGGGACTCGGTTGGAGCTCACAACATTGCACTAATCGCTGAGCAATGGCTCTTCGATCAGTCTCGACCGATCTCTCTCCTTCGGCCCAGCGTTTAACCTTCATAATTGTAAAGACCCCGAACAGGTCTTACCAAGTTATCCTTGTGACTGGCAACGGTCGAAGGGATAAGACTACGCGATGCTTCAATGATCTCTGTTGAATGATCCCATATTAGGAAAATCATTATTACCAATCACGGAATAGTAATCAGTTATATCCAAAATGGGTACATGTCTACGTCATCGGTGACGTAATTCTCGCGCCCATTGTCCTGCCTTCTCGCCCACATTGGCACATTTGTATTCATTCCACCTCGCACACATAGCACCATGGCATTCCTCACCCAGAGTTGGAAGGAAGCCTACAAACATTCCATGGTTGCAGGTCATTGAAGATGTTCCCCATTCCGACTACTTCAAAGGACTGAAACCCGCAGAGATCAACCACATCGCCTACTTCAAACATTGCGACGCGTCATATACTCAGAAACAGTACCACCAAAACCTATGGATGGGAACAATCTTGCCAATCATCGAAGGCACGACGATTCAGCGCGTTGCTGATCAGCACACACGGCTGAATCAGGAGTGGAAGGTAAAGGCAGAGACCGACAGGTTCTGGAGCAGTGTCATGAATGATGAGCTGGAGGCCAAGGCGAGGGCAAACAACAAGCGCCAGATTACCGCCCTGCGTGAGCATGTGGTCAACCAGCTGGAGAACACTTACGGGTACTACAGCAAGCGAACAAGGATCCTGAACAGTAGGATACCTTCCCCCCAAAGCTCATGGTTTCGACGATCGAAGGCAAAGATCTATCTATAAAGGTGTGACCAGACATGTTAATCCTCGATAATCGAAATTATAGGCAGGACGCAGCGCCATAACGCGTCGATCTCGCTAGCTCATGGGCAGCAGGATCAGACGAGACGAAGGACAAAGGCACTGCACAAGGTATGTTTGGGATGTAATTGAGACTTGTCAGAGATTGTGCTAATTAGTTTGGGTTCTCTTTCAACTCTGCGTGGTTGTCTCGTCTCGTTGTTTTTAGGCTTCAAGGGTACAGAGTCCACCAGCTCCTCGACCGACCCCACCTTCAACACAGACGACCTGTCGGATAGGAGCACAGAAGAAGATGATGCGCCCGTGACCCTCAGTCGACTCGTAGGCCCAGGGACCTTGTCTTCCAAGCTGTCGCGTAAGTCCCTTTATTACAAGGGCAACGTCTGTATCTCGCAGAAGCTGATGACCTACCGCCATAAGCAGGTCGAGGACGAGTCCTTTCTGCAGGACCCACAGGTGGACAACATCCTCGCATTGAATTTCATTTTTCACGCTGAGTTTCCACGAGATTTGCGAGCGAGTGAGAAGGCTCGATGGGAGTGCACTCTCGAGCAGGCCGACATGACCCTTATCATGGACATTGCCGTGATGTGCTCGATGCAAGAGCGAGCCGAGGCCCTAAAATAACTGCACGGGGTGACACACGAACGCGACGCCTGCATGTCGCCCATCGTTCTAACTGCTCAGAACCTGATGGTGACGACTGCACTGTGGGCCGACGCGCTTTTGGTCTGCGATCATGAGGATTCCTTCACCGAACGATTCTGCAAGCCGTTCGTCAATGCCATTTTCGGACAATTTGAGGACACCCAATTATGTTGGTAAGCGCACTTTTCATACTTCTATTTATTTATTTCTCTTCTTTACTAATTACATTGAAGTCGCAGGTCCCCTCCTTTGTGCCGACAAGAGCTGAACATCTGTTTCTAACCTAAAATAGGAGTAAGGATGCGTTGAAGACAGGCGGCCGGGACACTGGTGAGCGACCCTATCCAGATGTCATGCTCTGCACCACAACTTCACCGGGGCATGCAGTCCTTGTCGGCGAAATCAAGAAGCTAAATGCAAGCGAGCACGAATGTCAACGTGATCAAGTCAAGCTATTCATCCAAATGAGGCGAGCTTTGGATAGCCTGCTTGACTACGGCGTTGACGGGCCTGTAATCGGCATTCTTGTTCAACGGCATCGGGTGGAAATATATGCTATGACACTGCCCTATGAGGCTCTCTACATGCCAACGCACCTAGGATCCTTGGTCTGATCCTGTCGCGCTACTACTTTGGAGACTTAGTAGCTCTCACGCCTCCGCTTCTTGCAGCGAAGGCTGCTGTCAAACATACCCTGACACGCTTGAAGGAGGGACCACAACCACTCTTTCCGAAGAAGGACTGAAGACGCGGAACCTACCACTTTGAGCCCATGATACTCGATGACGATGTTTCGATGAAAGAAGAGGCGCGTGCTTCTGAGGCAAGAAAGAAAAGCGATGAAGCCAAAGGGTACCCAGGAGACGGACATTGAGAGCGACGAAGACAAGGCGAGTGAGGTGAAGTGAAGGTGATCAAATGATAGCCAGATGTCACGGCCAGCATGTACAGTATAGTTAATAATCGAAAAAGATTGTGCGAAATGTGACAGTAAATTTACCATAGGTGTTATGGTTACTTGGCACTGGAGGGTGCTTGCTTGCTACCAGAAGGTGCTTGTTTACTGGCACGAGAGCATGGCTACTTACTAGTACGGTTTCATGGTTACCAAGAGCACTGGAAATCGAACCTGAAGGGTCTATTACACTCTCTCCCCATTGCAATCTCTTGAAAAATCTCCATCACAATCTACACACCAGCATGACGTCCTTACTGGAATATAACAACTCATGCACTCCACTCCTTAAGCACGCCGCGCGAGTGAAAGAAAAAAAAAGAAAGATGTTGTTCTTGCGAACAAATATATAGAACAGTGGGCTTAATCTTAGTAGATCGTAGCAACAAGGCTACTCCACTGCTTACAACACCCCGTTCAATAAAAGTCGTCTGCAATGGATTTATCTCTTTCGATATTTGAGATTAACATTAGCAGGAACATCACAAAGCCTTTCCGCTCTGCAACACAACCCCGCGTAGTATGATCTTGGACCCGAGGGCCTATTCGTATTCGACTAAAAATCGGAAAAAGGCGGTAATCGTCGCGTTCTAGCACGGGTTCTGACTTAGAGGCGTTCAGCCATAACCCAATGGATGATAGCTTGGGGCCATTGCCTGCTCAGGCAGACCCAAATACCCATTATCCGAATGAACGGTTCCTCTCGTACGAAGTTCAATTACTATTGCAACAACATTTCATCAGTGGGGTAAAACTAACCTGTCTCACGACGGTCTAAACCCAGCTCACGTTCCCTATTAGTGGGTAGACAATCCAACGCTTACTGAATTCTACTTCAGTATGATAGGAAGAGTCGACATCGAAGGATCAAAAAACAACGTCGCTATGGCTTTTTAAACTTTAATGCACTGCACATACGATATCAGCTTCACTTAATGCGAATCATGAAGGAATGGGAAAAAAGTAGATATCGATGACGATCTCGGTCTGGTTTCTCATTTTCATGGTGTTTTCGTGCTATGCAAGTATCCCTTACATTGTCGGAGGTTTTTGACAACATTATCTTTTATGAAGGCTCGGATTGTTCTGCCTGTCCATCTCGCTGACGTTCAAAAGTGAGGGAAAAGTGAGGTGATGGGAAGATAAGTTGATATGGGAGTTCCTCTCGTGGTGGTTCCTCTTTTTTTTATGTGAATGAGTGGGTGCTCTCTAAGGTGTTGTTTTTGTAAATATGGAGAGAAGACCCTGCTCGTAGTAATTCCTTGTAAAAATCTGGATCGGAGAACTGTTCCAGAAAATATTAAATAACAGCAACCGGAATAAATCGAAGGGATAAATTTCGACCACTTTTTGTGGTCGAAAACAGACGAAGGGATAAAGCAACCAGCGGGCAGGGCTGGATGAGCCCAATTGGTTTGTTTGCTGCAGTCGTATTTTAGCAGGACTCTGCTTTCAAGTAAAAGGATGAATCAAGTCTTTGTTGTTCTTCGTCTCGCGCGCAAAAGAGGCCACCCAGGACACGAGTTACTCACATCCAACTCAAGCGAGCACTCCTCTCCACCTCAAGTCCGTCATCTCTTCTTATCCAACCAATATCACAAGCTCATCAGTAAGAAACATTCTCACGCGTAGGAAGCATCCAGCGTTTGCTCTTCTAAAGCATCGCCCTATTATCACCCACTCTTGTCCACTCATCTGGCACAGAGCATGCCATTCTATATTTCTATGTTTTTCTTCGCTAACCTTGAAGCTCAAAGATAACCAAGCACAGTTTTCCGTGGATAGTCCTTCCTCGGCATTGCTGTGGTGGTGATCTTCAGCCTGAGTATGGCAGATGCCATAATGGAGAACAATTTTCATTTCCGTGGTGTCAGTGAGAACTGAACGGGAGTTGGTATCGGCAACACCGAATGCAGAATTCCCATGTTCAACGCGGACGCCTACCTGTCCAGCGACGAAAATGTTTGCCATGTCTACAAGGAAGATTGTATCAGCCCCTACCAGCCATACCTAGCCAGTTGAACCTTAAGCACACTCATGTGCACCCATGCTTGCACTTTCGATAGAGACTTTGCCCTTTCAATCAGCGAATTTGACGATTTTCGTGAGGTAGCTAACCGCAGCAGAGGTGATCAACTCTTGTTTTTTTTCATCCAGCAGGGGCATCTGGATTAAGCGAAGCAACCACACCACCTCTACAAATTTTCGCTTCCTCATCACAAGCTGACTGAAATAAAGGCGCTTTGACTCCACCCTCCTTTTTTAAACAACGCTATCTTGCTTGTCAAGCGTGTTCTTGCTACTGCCACACCCAAACCAATGGGATATTGTTTCATGTTTCTTGCACATGATCCTGCGTTTGTGGAAGTGGGCAAAACAAGGAGCAAACAGACACACTGTTTTGGTAGCCATCTCTTTTATTTGTGTTCCTCTTCATTCTTCATCTCATCTCGGCTAAAAAGTCATGGATTCGAGTTCCGAGAGAGCGGAATGACTTTGTGTGATTACGTTGTAGATGTTGCCTTATCTTCCCAATTCAGTGTCGGTGTGGGCAACAGCGAACATCATCTTCAGTGATGAAGGGAACACCCTTGCATATTAGCCTATTCCACATGGTCCACAAGTATGAAAAAAACAAGCGCGCACAGCACTGCTTGGAGCGATCGCCTTATGTTCTCTTGGTTGTCTGGCTCGCTTAGCACAAGTAGTTCTATACACGCCTGAAGCGACATTAGAAAAGTATATGTAAGTCCAAACGAAATGCTCTCCCTCATTCCTCAGTGAAAAAAAAAACGGAGGGTGAAAACAGAAATTAACTGGAGTAGTACTGGAGTACTGAAGAACTCGTAATGACATATGCAGAAGGGGCAGAATCCCGCGCCTGAGTACGACGTTACTCATACATGTAAAAAACGTGGATGTTCTATTCTCTTTTCTTTTTCGGAAAGTAAAATTTTTGCCGAAGACTAACCACACCACATACTGCAAGCACCTCCCCTTTATGTAAGTCGCCGCTCCGCCTTCTTCAATAGATCGGCGTTCGTTTGAACCATGAGTGTCGTTGTTGTTTTTCATCCCTCCGACATCTTTGTTTGTACTCGCTCCTCTCAGCATCGAATTTCACTCTGATTTCAATAGACATTCGCCCTCATCCAAGCCATGCATATTAGCTCTCTATTTTTCTTTCTACATTGTGTCTCCAGCTGGTTTCTGGCAGACGCTGTGTCTGTCGAGTTCCAGCCCTGTTGGTTCAGAGGGGGCCAGATCAGCGTGATTGTCCATGGTATCGATTGCGATTACTCGCTACTCGAATATGCCGGCTACGACTGCTCCCGTCCGGTTTGCAGGGCGCCAGCATTCCAATGCATTGGGAACGGAGATGCTTTCCATTGGGCAAGACTTCGACTCGAGTTCAGCGATGCATGTGTCAACCTCGGACGTGCAAAGTATGATACCAAGCTGTTCAGCGCTGATGATTATGATATTCAGAGCCAGGTCGCAGATCGTCATGAGGACCATAGGAAAAGTTCTTAGCAGTAGTGTCGTTGTTGTAGTAGGTGTATTCTTTCTTTTCAATATATTTTATTATACATTTATTGATTCGCGCACATCCACTCTCTTTCTATAGTATCTGCACACCTCACTCACCCCTGTTTTGTTGTTTATTCCTTTCAGCTTCCCCCCTTTCTTTTTTTCCACCACTACACACACCGTAAAACCTGCGTCTTGTGTGCCCTTGTTTCCCTTGTTTGTCTCTTGAATGAATTAGTGACTCTCTACCGCGATTCTTTAACTATCCAGACCTTGCCTCTTTTGATTGGACACGACGCGAGGTAGGATCGAACGCATTAATTTTCTTATGCCCGCTCGCATCACTTTGAAGACGACGTGACACAATGACAGGAAGGCCGGTCTGTTACTGCTAGCAAAGACTGAGGCACTATTTGTGCTAGGTACCTTGATGGCCGGGAAGACTTAAAATCGTGAGTGAGCGGCGAACAATGGGATGGTCCAGCACCTTGAATCTAGCCAACGCCCTGACGGTGACTTTCAGCCCCTGTCCCGATAATAGAGGACGTCGAGGGGTAATTGCACACGACCTCGCCTGATTTATAGAGCACATAGAAAGAGTTGTTTCTTCCAAGCCAACCAGCGACTGTAATTTGAACATGCCAAGAAACTTCTCAGCGATACCCCAAGCCTGCATGAACGTCAGGAATGCAAGGTATCAGTCCAGGAGATACTCTAGCAAGATTGCCGAGCATCACGATCGGTGCTTGTTCTCGGTCCAGGGGATATACAACCGTGGATATGATGCGGCGTTGAGGGTTTGGTTTGGCTAGATTGCCGGTCGCACGAACGGCTCTTTTCATATCTTGTGTTGCTTCTGGTAGTACAGTCCATTTCTTTAACGGACGCATCCATTACAACAAAGGTACACCTGCCTCATGGGAAGGGATGAAAGCAAAAAAAGCAGTGGCCGTCCATAAGATGCCATGTCACTTCGTCTGCACTCGTTGACCCCCTACGTTCGGTAAGAGGGCCTTGTAAAAGAGTCGTGCATTCGTTACGATAGCGTGTTCTTGTTCCCCGAACTTAAGCGTACGGATTGTGTCCGAATCAGTTCCTTTGTAGAGGAACAATAAGCGGGCGAGTTGATGCTGATTCCACGAATATAAGATTGGTGGCGCTCTTGCAAAAGTTTGATTGTCGCTGTTTTGCATTCTCCTCACCTCACCTTGCGATCGTGTTGTTGTATTTGTATGAGTGTATTCGTTTTTATTTCTGGGGTTGGTTGATTTGTTTAGTGCTTCTTTGGTGCAGGGGGGCTATGTGAGCAGACAAAAAAAAAGGGGGAAGTAGTATGTTAGCCACCATAGGCTAGCAAACAATTCTTCCAACAAGGCTCAAATACAACAAAACAACGCAGTGGGCTTACTTGTAAATAATCTTGCGAGTCTTGAGACCAGCCCACTTGTGCCTCTTGAGATAGACCGAGAGGCCAGTCAAGATAGCGAGCAAAGTCAATGCCTTCATGCCCATCTTCTTGCGCTCGTCCATCTCGGGCTCAGCAGCCCAGCTGAGGAAAATAGTCACATCCTTGGCCATCTGGGAAGTAGTAGCGGGGGTGCCATCCTCGTACTCGACCAAGCCATCGTACAGGACACGGGCCATACCAATGGCTCCGCCGGGGAAGTAAGGGTTGAAGTTGAGTCCCTCACGGATCTCAACACCAGCTGGGGGGTCCTGGTATCCAGTCAACAGCGAGAACACATAGTCCTGTTTCATATTAAGTGTTATATGAAAAAAGGTTAGCTTGGCACTCTGGTAATGACGTTGGAGTAATAAAGCAGATACAAAGGGCATGGACAAAGAGCAAACAAAGAGCAGAATACGTTTTTGTGTGTCCACCGTTAATCAAAACAAAATAAACGCAAACAATGCCAAGCAGCAAGAGGTACATACGGCTCCACCGTGACGGGCCTTGATCATCAAGGAGAGATCTGGGGGGTAAGCTCCAGCGTTACCGGCTCTGGCCTGCTCCTCGTTAGCATAGGGCTGGGGCATGTAGTCGGAGGGCTTTCCAGGGCGCTGGAACATATCACCGACATCGTTGGGTCCATCGGTGTATTCAAACTCCTCGGCCATGGTCTTGACCTCAGCCTCGGTGTGAGAAACGCCGATCAAGTTGCGCCATGCAATGCGGTCAAGAGAGTGGCAGGCAGCGCAAACCTCCTTGTACACCTGGTAGCCACGGCGGATACTATCATGGCGAATGTGAATTGGCGGTATCGTTGTTAGGCACATGTTGACTTTATGTTGGTTGTCTGATATTCATCCTGGAAGCATAGATTTCCTGCTATGCCGCTATAAGTAAATGTATCCTCCAGCATGTGAGCATGCGCAGAATCCATGTTATCCGATCGGCATTGTTCCACATCGGGTATGATCGTGTGTGTGATCTGTCGATTTTCCGAAGATTTCCTGCAAGCAATTGGGTTCCCCCTATGCGATACTTGGCTCCTGAGTACTTGCTCCTCTTATTGCTAGTATGTTGACAATCCATCCTCGGTCGATTATCCGTGTGTTGTGAAAAGTCAATGGGCGCGCTTGATCCAAAAAGGCTCGTAAGGCCGACGGGGGTCCTTACGCAGCGTGGTCAAAGGTGGCGAGGTTCTTCTTGTGGTCCCAGGGGTAAGCGGGGGCATGAAGACCATCAGCAGCCATGTTGGCGTCAACGGTCTCCATGGACATGTAAGCAAGAGTGCCGACGGTGGCAATACCAGCAACAGCCATGGACATGTTCTTGGCGGACTATTACGAAATCCAAAGGTAAAAGTATCCATTGAGTAAACTCTTTGTTACGACTGGAACTCCGAGTTTCAGGAACAATTCATGAAGTGACTGATATAGACGGATTATGAGGGTGTTACCATGCTGGAAGCAGCAGCAGCAGATTTGGTAGACTGGTGGCGAGCCTAGATAATACAAGAAGAGAGGGACTGTATTAGGGCCAAGAGTATAAGTGGTGACGGACACATTGATCCGATCGGAGATTTTGATTCGCGTTCTGGTGGTGGTGGTGCCATCGAATGGTAACAGCATCCTTGAAAGAACGCGAAACGGTCGTGATGGTTTGCCTGTTAAGGGGGAAACGCGTCTATGGTTTTTCGTCGTGTTTTGTTGATTTGAAGGTGTAGGGTTGTGTTGTGTTGGTTGCATGTACCTGAACAGCGAGACGCTGGACCGCCTGGCGGGTGGACAGGGCGGAGAGACGGAACATTGTATGTGTGTGTATGTGCTTCTGAGGGGATGTATAAATAAGACAACGAGGGTAAAGTAGAAGATGACGAGGGGGAGGAGCGAAGGTAAAAAGGGATGATACCAGGAAAGGGAAGGACGGAGAAAGGGGAGAAAGGGGCGTGAGTGATGGGCGTGATTGATGCGGAGAGGCGATCTCTTTTTTAGTTCACCGTCTGTCCGCGACAAGTCTGCACTCGGAAAGCCGAAATGAGGTACGGATTTAACGACTTTAGTGACGTAATAGAAATAGGAAATAACGGATCAGCCTAATGTGCACAAGTTCAGCGAGCTCACCGAAGGATTTGTCACATACCCTGCAGGCTGTGCATGCAACCCTCTGTGGATGCCGTAAGAGCGCTCCTCTTATCAACAGGAGTAACATCGATTATCAACGTGGATCATGACCACGGCGAAGTTGCTGTACTCCTATGCAGAGAAAGTATGCCTGGGGAAGGTAGACGTTGCGTCCACGACCGCGACATGTTTGCGAGTCGAAATTATCTCTCGGTGGCTTCGCACCATTTTTTTTTTGTGTGTGAGTCTGCTGTGTTATTTTGTGTATGAAAGATATCCGCGGTGACCACAGTTGTTGCACTTCTTTCATTACTACGTCGTCTTCCTCTTCTCTTTCGTTCACTCACTTCGCACCTCCACTCTGCCCAGGATCACCGACACTCGGCTCATCCGTCTTCTCCCTCAACAAGACTTACACCTTTTGAACCTAGGAAGTACTGCACATCTCGCTGCTTCACAAGCATCCAACGAGAGATCTCTCGACACGAAAACAACTACCTCTTGTCATTTTTGACTGGGCCTTCCTGACACCACTCAAGACTCTCGATCGAACCCAATCACTTGACACGAACAACCACACAGACAGACAACTAGAATGCATCTCGACGACTCTTCCGACTCGGGATTGAAGGAGTTCCTGACCAAGGAACTGGCACAGATGTAAGTCCAAGAGCTAGTGCTATACACTTCTTCCTGACACCTTCCATGGAGTAACTTGAAACAAGAGCACACACATATACACGCATACATACCGTCTAATACCCCGCTTCCTTATCAAACGACTACTTAGCTCTGATGCCGACCCTGCAATGCTGGCTGACTATATCATCGCCCTGCTCAAGCACGACAAGGAGAACGATGAGCTCAAGGAACTCTGCGTGTCACAGCTGGACGATTTCCTGCAGCAAGGTACGTTTATCCATTCATGACATTCCTTGTTGACATTGTACTAATATGGTGTTCGGGCCATTTCGTTGACTCAGTCTAATACGAATGCTTATTTCTTGATGGAATTAGAAACGGTACCTTTTGTCGATATGCTGTTCGAGGCCCTGGCAACAAAGTCCTACAGATCAAATGGATCAGGAGTATCAGTCTCGGCACCACGTTCCTATGGAGGCTCTTCATCTGGATCTTCTGCAGATCGCACCTCCCATCAACGTCAGGAGAAGCATCACCGCGGAGACAGTGATGGCTCGGACGACGAGGATCGGAGCTACAAACATGCACGCCGAGATGATACCCGCGACGTATCGTCAACAATAACCAGCAGCAGCAGTAATACCAACAATATCAACAACAACGGTCGGCGAAGAGAATACAGTCCCTCGCGCCCCAGTGACGACAATCGGTCTGACCCAAGGCGCGGCGGCCGTTCCAATGACTCTAACGCCTCCGGTCAATCCGACTCTGATCGCCGTGGAGACCGATCTTCTCAAGGAGGCTTTTCCAGACAGCAGGGGTTGACCACTGCAGGGTTCAACAACCGGAATAACACGAACAGTAGCAACAACAGCAACGCAGGCATGGATCGTGGCCAGTGGAATGGTGGCCAACAACGGAGCCAATTCCAAGATGGTGGACGCGGCAACTTCCAGGATCAGCAGGGTAATGGATCCTGGCGTGGCGGTGCCAACAACATGCGTGGTGGTCGAGGTGGTATGCAGGGTAGCCAAGGTTTCGGACAGGACAGACCTAAGCGCCAGAGATGCCGTGACTATGATGGTATGCCTTCTTGCTTTTGTCGTTACAGATTTTCACTTACGTTCTACAGAGATGCTAGTTCACAAAAACTAACACCACTGCATTGTTTTTTTTAATACTAACAGAGAAGGGGTTCTGCATGCGTGGAGATATGTGCCCATATGATCACGGAGATGACAGGATCGTTGTCGACGAGATGGCGCAAGTTCCCTTTGGCATGATGGGCGTTCCAGGCATGGGACCCAACGGCATGATGGCTATGGGCGCTATGGGCGGTATGGGAAGACCACCCTTCTTCCCTGGCATGCCAAGCGAGATCATCGCCCCCCACGGATCTGACATGTATGATGCCGACGGCGCACCTTTATCAGAGACCATGGGCGCTTCCAAGTTTCCCACGGACTCGTCTGAGAGCTGGCGTAGTGAAGGTGGTGGACGATTCGACTCTGCCAGAGGCGGAGCCAGAGGTCGCGGCAGTCTCAGAGGTATGCGAGGAGGTCGTGGTCGAGGAGGTTCATCTCATCCCTATGCTGCGCCTGGGCGCTTTGGAGCAGGAGGAAGTTCAGGAGGCGCTGCCGGATCAAAGACTTCCCTCGTGGTTGAGAATATACCCGACGAGTTCAACACCATCGACAAAGTGAACGAGTTCTTCAAGAGCTTTGGAAGCCTGACCAATATCCAGGTCGACCAAGCTGCACACAAGGCTCTGATCCAATACAGTACCCGCGACGAGGCCAGCGCCGCCTATAACTCGCCCGAGGTCATTTTTGGAAACCGGTTTGTCAAGGTTTACTGGCAGCCGGATGATCTGGACTCGGCCACTTTTGGCCGTCAGCCCAAGCCTACTGGACAGGTTCGACCCGAGACACCTGCTGCAGGCGCAACTCACTACCCCATGCCGCCAACTACGAGTGTCCTAATGACGCCTGAGCGTGCAGCAGAGTTGGCAGAGGAACGTGCAGCAGCAGCAGCCAAGAAGGAGGAGAATAAGAAGACTATGCTGGAGATTCAGCGTCAGAAGGAAGCGCTCGCACAGCGTCAGCAGGAGGAGCAAAAGTTGCTTATGCAGGCGCTCCTTGCCAAAAAGAACATGTCGCAGAAGGACAAGGATGAGATTTTGAGTGGACTTAAGAATGTCGCCATCGAGATCACTAAGGAGGCTGTCGACCCACACGCACAGGCCAGAGCTGCAGCCACTGCTGCCGAGGCACTGCGACAGGTGGAGCTTCAGAAGGAGGCTGAGCGACTCGAGAAGGCTCGTCTAGACACTGAACTGGAAGTTTTGAACGCCACGCCTTCTGCGTCAGGTACCACTGACGCTGCCGAGACCACTGCTGCCCTCAAGGCCAAACTTGCCGCTCTACAGGCTGAGGTATGGTGAAAATGCGATATGATTCGTTCTTTCCTGAAGCAAGTGGAACGCTTTCTGAAACAAGTCACTTACTAATCTCCCTCTTTTTTTTTTTTCTTCTACTAGGCTGCTGCACTTGGATTGGAGCAACAAGGAGGTTATGCAGGACGTGGTCGTGGAGGATACGTTCCACGCGGAAGAGGTCGCGGAGCACCTGCTAACTCTTGGGCTCGGGGCGGCGGACGTGGAGGAGCCATTGTCTCTCACCATCGCACTTTCCGGATCGATAACCGCTCAACAAAACTCTCTGTCCAGAATGTTGATGATCTCTCTAAAGATGGACTTCGCGAGCACTTTGAGGTAATTGCACTCACCGAGATTGTCTGTATGCTGAGTTCTTACATACAATGCTTGCTATGATTGACGTACTCACTATACCGTTCATGGTTACTTTTGTTTTGGTATCATAGACATTTGGCGAAGTGGAGTCGTTCATCTTGGGGGCAGATGGAGCATCGGCAACAGTGCAGTTCAAGAACCGCAAGGACGCCGAGGTTGCAATGCAGCAGGGAAGTCAGACCGCCAATGCGGCAGCGGGACCCTTGAAGCTCAACTGGATCTCTGAACCCCAACAGGCACCTGTGTCTTCAACAGCACCTTTGTACGGCGCTGGGTTCCCTAAAGTCAGTACGCCTGCGACGATCTCAGTAGCAGCACCTGTCTCGACGACTGTTTCTGATGATGCAGATGCAGCGGCAGCTGCGGCCGCGGCCGCGGCTGGAAGTTTTGGAGAGAGCGATGATGAGGAGCATGGCGAGCGGTCATGGAAACGTTAGACGATGAAGTAGGAACTCTTCGTTTCGTCTTGTTATTTTCTTTCGTTTTTTTCATGCACACGCACACGCACACACACACAAAATTCAGGATGAGTTCGAGGTGTCGACGGACGACATGTCAGTGGTCTTCGATTGGGCCCATTCCATATAATTGCATTTTTTCTTTCTTCCACCTTTGTATTATTTACGTCTTTTTTTGACAGTTGTTCATTCTTGTCGCTGTCGGAGTAATAAACTATAAGAACACAGTACAAAAAATACAGGCATGGAACAAAATTATGAGTCGAATGAGGATGATAGAGGCGTTTTGGTTTTCCTGTTGATGTTCAAGTTGACATGTTAGGGTCTACCCGGCAATTGATTCTTTAGTGCACCTCCCTCCATTGCCGTTAATTCTTATGGCTCGTTGTCGCTGATCTGATGCTCCGTTGTTAGAAGTGGTGGGAGTATTCTTTTCTTTCAGATATAGTACTCCACTTGTTCGCTAATCTTTTGTGAGTGAGGTGCGTGTATGCCTCAGTGTCTAATCCCTCCGAGATACTGTTTCTCCTGCTTCCTCACACGGCCTCAGCTACGTCACCTGAGCGTACTGGCTCGTGCGAGCTAATTGCCCCTAACCTTAAATTTTTGGTGATCTCACCTGAGTGTTAATTTTCGCTGATATTAACTTTTGATTGATCAACGTCACCTGAGTGTGCAAAGTCGTTTGGGCTAAGTCGTTTGTTTTTTTTTCTTAATCGTTCGATTGCTTTCCGTTCTCGGGACACAAACCTTCTCCAATTGGTTCCATTTTGTTGTCGGGACAGCTCATACGGTACCATATCGAGAAAGCATCGGTACTTTTGTCTTTCTCTTTTCTTGACGTTCCGTCTTTTCCTGGGTTTCCCAACACTCGTCATGGTTCCGCACCTTTATCCGCCGCCGCTTTGCCCGTCATCTTTCTTTTTCAATTGCGCATACATTGTTCTGAGAAAACTTATATAAGAAGCTCCTCCTTCTCCTTTTTTTCTTCTTTTCTCTCTCATTCATCAACACAACTCCTTCCCCTTCATCTTCCACCTTCTCCATCCCATTCTTCAATAAATGGGTAGCCCCTCACTCTCCACTCCAGTGTGTTAAAAAATATCATCCCTCTTCACTCTCCAGTCTCTTCTCACAGCCATCACCTCCACACCGACTCTTTACTACCATGTCTAAAAAGATCATGGACCTGCAGCCAGAGGTCCCCTACCACACCTACACCGTCGCCGAGACCGAGGCAGAACTCAAGTCGAGCACCATCGAGGGCCTCACTTCGGAAGAGGCAGATATCCTTCTTCGACGCTTTGGCACCAACGAGCTCAAGGGCAGTGGTGGCGTCAAGTGGTACCTGGTCCTTTGGCGCCAGATCGCTAACCCCCTTGTGGTCGTCCTTCTCATTGCTAATGTAAGTTTTTTTTGTTTTTTTTTTGTTTTGTGATACAATACCCCTGCGTTGATTTTTTCCCTGTTGTCTGTCTCTCTTTCTTTGTCCCACTTGTGTCACTGCGCATGTATTTTTCCTTGTGCTTCCCAACGTCCAAAAATTCATTCCTCTCCTTTTCTGCCCCTTTTTCAGATCTTGGCCTTTGCAACGGAGCAGTTCGCAGAAGGAGGAGTCATCCTCTTCATCATCGTCATGAACGCCACCATCGGGTTCTACCAAGACTTCTCTGCCGAGCAAACCATGGAGGCCCTCCGCAATATGTCCTCCCCTACCGCCCAGGTCATCCGTGACGAAACCCGCATCGTCATCCCCAACAACCAAGTCGTCCCCGGCGATGTCCTCATCTTTGAAGACGGTGACGTTATTGGTGCCGATTGCCGGCTCTTTGAAGTCTTCAACCTTGAAACTGACGAGGCGCTTCTTACGGGTGAGAGTCTCCCTGTCCAGAAGAACTTGGATCTGATCAAGGCCTCCGAGGAGTCGTTAGGCGATCGTCTGAACATGGTCTTTGCGTCGACCACGGTTGTCAAGGGCCGCGCCAAGGGAATCGTCACCGGCACCGGGATGGGCACGCAGATCGGCAAGATTGCGACCACCTTGATGAATGTCGACAACAACGAGTTGACTCCGCTCCAGAAACGTCTGAACAAGATGGCCTACTGCATTTTCGTGGCTGCGGTGGTATTGGTTATTGTCGTCTTTGGTGTACACAAGTTCCGGTACAGCAACGAGATTGCCATATATGCTATTTCGGTTGCTATCTCTATGATCCCTCAGGGTTTGGTTGCTATTGTTACATTGACCATGGCATTTGGTGTCAGTCGGATGGCCAAGGCTAAGGCTATTGTTCGTCGTCTTTCGAGTCTTGAGAGTCTCGGCGCCGTTACCAATATTTGTTCGGACAAGGTAATTATTTTTTGTCAATGTCTTTGCTCTTGTTTTCTGTGGTTGAATACAAATGTTGTATACTGATATTTTCTTTTTTTCCTTCCCTTACTTTCTAATAGACCGGCACATTGACCCAGTCCAAGATGGTCGCTGTCCGTATGTGGTTCCCCGGCGACGGCTTCTACCGCATCTCTGGTACCGGTTTCATCCCCGAGGGCGGGATCTTCCGTCAAGGCGAAACCGATGACGGTGATGCTCATACCCAAGCGGACGAACATGTCGTCACTCTCGACTCTGGTAGCGACCAACTCTTGCGTACTATCCAAGCCTCAGCCCTCTGTAACATGGCTGAACTCCGTCGCACCAACCATCCCGAGACCCACGGCGAGTGGACAGCCATTGGAGACCCTACTGAGATTGCCCTCCAGGTGCTCGCCTACAAGGCAGGTATGCCCAAACCCGAGCTGATCGAGAATGGGTTCCGATTAATTGCCGAGTTCCCCTTTGATTCCTCTGTCAAGCGTATGTCGGTCCTGTATGAGACTCCCTCGAGCGAGCACTTGATTTTCACCAAGGGTGCTACTGAGCGGATCCTGGGATGTTGTAGTCACTACCGTGAAGGAGACGCTGAAATCCCGCTCAGGAACGAGAAGGGTGGTGAGGACTCTATCCAGGTCGACTTTGAGTCTGTCATCATGAAGCGAGTCGATTCCTTGGCCGAGCAGGGCCTCCGGGTTCTGTCGCTCTCCTACCGCAAGTTCCAGCCTAACGAGGGTGTCGACCTTGTCCATGGCTTGGACCGCGATGAAGTCGAGTCAAACCAGGTCTTTTTGGGCCTTGTCGGTATCTATGACCCTCCTCGCGCCGAGTCTCTCCCGGCCGTGATGAAGTGCTACGAGGCCGGTATCCGCGTCCACATGCTTACTGGCGACCACCCCTCCACTGCTGCCGCGATCGCAAAAGAAGTCGCCATCATCCCGGCTGATACCGATGTGAAAAACTCTTCGATGGTCATGAGTGCCGACAAGTTTGATGCCATGTCTGACGAACAGATTGATGCACTGGATGAACTGCCCCGTGTCGTCGCCCGCTGCTCGCCCAACACTAAGGTCAAAATGATCGCCGCCCTACACCGCCGTAACCTCTTCGCTGCGATGACCGGCGATGGCGTCAACGACTCCCCCTCCCTCAAGGCTGCCAACGTCGGTATCGCCATGGGCCAGTCCGGCTCTGACGTCGCCAAGCAAGCCGCCGACATTGTTCTCACTGACGACAACTTTGCCACCATCGTCGAAGCCATCGCCGAAGGTCGCCGTATGTTCTTCAACATCCAAAAGTTTGTTCAGCATCTCATGTCCGGCAACATCGCCACCATCCTAGTCCTGGTCGTCGCCTTGGCTGTCAAAGACGAACAAGGCGACTCTGTCTTCCCCCTCAGCGCCGCCGCAATCCTGTTCATGAACCTCTGCTACTCCTCCCCGCCCGCCATCGGTCTCGGCCTCGAACCCGCCAGCGCAACCAACATGAAGGAACCTCCACGGACCTCGAAACAAGGCCTCTTCTCCTTCGAAGTCCTCATGGACATGTTCGTCTACGGCATCGTCATGGCAATCCTCTCCTTTGTTTCCTTCATTCTCGTCCTCTTTGTCTTTGAAGACGGCCAACTTGGCTACAAGTGCAACCGCGGTTACTACTCCGAAGTCTGCGACAGCGTCTTCCGCGCCCGCGCAACCTGCTACTCGACCCTCACATTCCTAATTCTCTCCCACGCCATTAACTGTCGTGACATCCGCCAATCTGGCTGGCAATGGTCCCGTCTCAAGACCGCCCACCAGAACAAGACCCTTTGGTTATCGATCGTTGTGGGTGCTATGATCCTGTTCCCTGTGATCTATGTCCCCGGGTTGAACAAGAATGTGTTTAAGCATTTGGGGATCTCATATGAGTGGGGAATTGTTTTTGCGTCGTTGTTCATTTACACGGCGTTTGTCGAGGCCTATAAGTTTATCAAACGAAGGACCATGGCCTAGTTGGATGGTATTTTAGTTAATTTTTTTTTACCTTTACGCAAATATACCTATTCCTTTTGCATCCTTATTCTGTGCAGAATACTTTTTTCTCAGTTGCAACGTCTGCACTCTCGGGTTGTGAGTTGTTCTTGGTCACTCATCAGCGTACCTCTTAGTTGATCTGGGGCACTTTGTGTTACGCGTGCGACGCAAAAACAATTTGTCGCATCTGTCCCTCCAAAGGTGGCATATACTTCTTGAGTGATTCCGTTTAGTACCTTGTTTTTCTTACATACACGCATACACAACCACGATGCGCTTCCTTCTAATAAAAAAAATAAGGAAAAAATCTATGATCCCTCTTTCTCTCTCTCTCTCTCTCTCACTCGCTGCTTGTCAGTCGTTGCTGCCGTGTTTATTTTTTGTTTCGCATCCTTTCCTTCTTTTCTCTCAACTCAAAATAACAACCTAAAATAAGGCCTCGGAACCTTTGCATCCTATATAAAGGAAAGTATAAGGCAAGTGAAGTGGATATGCATCACTCAACATTTCTTATCCCACAAAAAGACGAGTGTATACTGTTTCTAATCTCTACGCGCTCTAGATTCCTAGAACGTGGTCGGCCCACACCTAATAGGGACTTTTAATTTATATCTTCGCCACAGTGGTGCCTACGTTGGAGATCTACAAATGGGTTTTATCTTTGACAGGCAAGGCTTGTCCATTTTCGATCTAAAACAGTCCATTCATGCAAGAGTAGCATAGTGGCCTTGGCCCAAATTCATAAAGGATCATTCGTCTTACCCCTGAAGAAAAAACAGATACATCGTTTTCATATAAATAGACGCCAACTTACTTCCTATATGCCAGTTTATCCTTTCATCTCCGCTAACACCTATCCCCCCCTTCCCCCTCCTCCTCCCACACACACTCACATCCTTCTCCTCCTTACTTGATACTCACTCATCAAGTCATCGGGACCCTTTCAAAGTCGCTCATCTGTGTTCTACGAGATTCAGACCTCTCAATCATCGCTGGCTCGTTTTTACCAAGTATCACCGCTTCAAAAACCCTAGGCAACGGTCTCATCATCCATCCAAATGGGATCCTCTTCGTCCAAGTCGTCATCCCCGTCGTATTCGTCATCCCCGTCGTATTCGTCATCCCCGTCGTATTCGACATCCTCTCCGTCGTATTCGGCACTCATCTCGTCGTCATCGACACCATCTTCCTCATCCAATGCATCCTGTCCATTGTCAACCATGAGCCGAAAACAAAAAGTAAGTGAACAGCCAGTCATAATACAAGTTTTGGCAAGAGGAGCCGACATCGCCAACCGTATCAACAGTGGCAAGCAGCCCTGTCCCGGCTGCCAAAAGACTGATGGCTTGTCCTTCACCCGAGAGGGCGCTCTCTATACCATCAAGTGCACCCTCTGTGATTTCTCTCAGAGTCGGAAGTGAGGGGATGCGGCCCCGATACATTCATCGTTCTCTGAACGACGAGGAAGAAAAATCTAGTCTCTTCTTGCTCCCTCAGGTTGCTTTCCTTGTGAGCTTTCTCTATTTTTTAACGCTTTTTTTCTCCACCAAACATACCAAAAATTACCAAATCAGCTACCCTCATCATTCTTCTCCGGTAGCAAAGCCCGTTTTATTTTTTCTGAGTCGCCACCAATAAAACACACGAAACGTGTACCATTCCGGTTTTCTCTTCCTACTTCATTACACACCCCTGCTGCGCTCGAGGTTCCAAACTTAAAGCGGACACCACTATCTCCCATATTTTTTATCCACTGAATAATACTAACATAAATTATTGCCATCGTGTAAATAATCTAGAGGGACGACCTTCGAACCAAAATGAGGAAGGCCATCCATAACATGATGGACAATGCCTCGAAAGACAAGATGAACGGAAAAGTCTATGTCGTGTACGAAATAATTCCTGACCTGCGATGGATATCTCTAGGCGACGGCGAGTCCGGGCGAGGGTTGAAACACTGGCGCCTTATCATCCAGCTCGGCTTCGACTGGCTCACGCTCGAGTACTTTCAGGACAGTGTTTTCACTTTTCATGGTCTTGTCGTGGTAGGTCCTTACGACCCTGAAGCAACGAGTGCCGCAAAGTTGTATCATGTCGGTGACTTGAAGGGGTTGAATACAGAGGAGCTGTTCAAATGGATCCGGGATGAGTTCTATTCTAAGGAAGAATACAACGTTTTCACGAACAACTGCCAGCATTTCGTTCACAATTTTGTTGCGGAATTCGAGGACTCAGGACACCTTTCAAGAACCGGTCATCTTGAAGCCCCCAGGAACCGACGCCAGCTGTTCACGGAAAGAGGCCGAAAAATAAAGCGATATGCGTTTGGTAAGTTCGCTTACTTACACATGAAGGCGTTCGGGCATCTGGTTGGGGCAGCAAGCCGTACAATCAAGTCCGCTTCCGAATCTGATCCCAAATCGTAGAAGCAAGATCACTTGCACTTACCTCCCGCAAAATACCCCACTTAATCGATATCCAGTAGAAGAGAAATAAAAGGCTTGAGGAGAGCTAAGTGGAAGTGAGTTTGGTGGCATGCTTGTTTCGTACGTATTGTAGCTCCTGTACATGTGCGTCTTATATGTCTTACAGGTACAAATGAACGGGCAGGACTCCAAACCCCTTTCTTTCCTAACCTCTCTTCTCCCTCCATGCTTGGCATAATCTCAACTCATGTTTCATGACTTTTGAGAAGTAAAATTAAGATGAGGGTCCAAGGAACAATAACAGCAAAGGGATGTAATGGCAAGATAACAACGGATGGATTGATTTGATAAAGCAAAGAGTAATAAGACAATTTTACGTCAGGGAGAGAAGAGCAGGGAGATGGCACATGTGAAGTCATGAGACCCTGGAGCCTAGAAGGCGCAGATTGTAAAAATAATAAAATGTCTACGGAAAAAAATAGAGGAGAATGAGCGAAAGAGAGGGAAGAGAAACGGAGGCTGAGCTCGGCGAAGAGTCGCTATGCATTCGCCATGAGTTGGCATTGTTTCAAAATCGGTGCCTTTTTTCCGGATGTCTCGAGATCTCTGTAGTCTAGTTTACTTGCACTTTGACTGTAATATTTGTTGTGCATTAGATATCGCTTGTTTACTCCTTGTCTCTTTAACATGTTGCAGAGTGACAGAGCAACTGAAGTGACAAGTGTTTCTTTGGTGCAACACAGACTCGTCTTTCTCTTTATTCGCTACCGGTCGAGGATATTACAGCTATGCTACAATCCTGCCTACGAACCCTGCCTTCTGTAGCAGCATCTGATCAAGTTAGAAATTAATGGTTACAATTGAGCAGCAGCGCCCTCCTCAGGTTGCTTCTCTCGATCTCCTCCGTCCTTTGCCATGAAGGAGGGAGAGAAGGAGGCCGCAGGCTCTTCCTTCTAGACTCTGTGGGATATGTGTCTTGTTTACACACTTTATGCCCTCTTTTTTGAGATTGCGCACAGACCCAAAAACTTTTTATGCGCATTCAGAGGGAGATGTACTTGAAGAAAGGTAGGATCAGACAGAGTGCTTACGAGGTGGCATGATGTGCTGTGTCTTCGCCAATTTTTCTCGTTTCTTCTATGGCTATCGCAAGATTTTTGTTCTCCCACTACCCTCTAACTGCGCTCGCCTGCCTGTCACTTCCAACTTCCTAACTGCCCCTGAACTCCCATAGCCTTCTACCCACTGGACCTGTCATCCTCGCCAGAGTCGAAAAATACAAAGCCCAACCAACTCTATTATGCCTTCTTTTCTTTTACTCTTGACGTTGTTGACAAGTACGACAATAATGCATTCCTTCATAAACAGATTGCCCTCGCCATGCAAAGTAGTGTCTCCTTGAGTCGAGAAACATACTATCCAAAACAAACATGCCAACGAAGCCGCAAGTTTTGGCGAAGTATAAACAAAGACTACCCCTGAGAAAATGGGAAAAAGACAAATGCAAAAAGAGACCTCGCTTCCACACAAATTCTTCCACGCACAGGTTAAACCTGAGGACAACCGACATTATGAATGGTCAGTGATGAAAAGTGATAGGTATTTTTTTTTATTTTTTTTATTTTTTTTGCCAGTAATAAACTGCAGCATGTACGATCAACGAAATACCTGCGACACTATTTTCCTTCATGGAGGAAATTCAGCGAAGGAAAATTGAATGCGCGAAAACCTACTTGGCCCATCCTTTTTTTCTGGGAACCGACATCATCCCATCGCCCCATGCTCGAATGAGTTTGAGGCATCACAACTGATGAAGCGATTCTCAAAGTTGCGTGGAATGATGAGATGATGGGAAGAAAAGTGGATAAGGACGTTCCTCTCGTTGTGGTTCCTCTTTTTTATGTGGACTGAGTGGGTGCTCTCCTTGGTAGTTTTTTTGTAAATATGGAGAGAAGAACCTACTCGCAGTAATTCCGTGTAAAAATATGGAACTGATCAGTTCCAGAATCTATCGAAGGGATGCTCTCTCTCTCTCTCTCTTCCTCAATGTTGGCAGCACTCCCAGGTCCTTTTCTTCACACTCCAGGTGCGTTATTTAACTGTCCTTTAATTCCCATGCAGAAACACGCTGTTATTAGTACTGTAGTGGGCTTCTTAGCTCTTAGCAGATTTATTGAGTCTTTCGTTTGTCTTATGGTTTGCCGGGCGGGAGGCACCCATGAGTATTTTCCTTCATGTCTCGTGCATAAATTGAAGAAGAAAATAATATGTTGCGTTCAAAAAGCACCCTCCCTCAAATAATGGTCGACTTTCGCCTCTCAGACACCCCTCCCCCCCCCCCATGTTCTTGCTTTTAACAGGGATATCTTTCAATTCATTCCTTCAATTTCTCTTCTCCACTTCCAAACTTCCAGCCCAATCGACTGCCCACAGCTTGGACCAACGGCTTCGACAACCACAACCACAACCCTGCCTTGCGAGACGTCAGCGTCCCCCCTACCCCTCCATCATGACATACATAAATACCAGCGCCCCAACAAAACACATCATCAAGCACACCTACGCCCGAAAGAAAAAGGCCAACAAGAACACCAACGCCCAAACAAAAGAGATCAACAAAAACACCAGCACCCACACAAACGAGGCCAATATGAACACCAACATCCAAACAAAGGACACGAACGAGGGCACCGACTTGTACAAGACGATGGTTGACGACTTAACAGAGGCTGTCCCTTTAAACGACAAGGATCCCGAGCGCGCTCTCGGCACCACCGACCCTTATACGATGACCACCGAACACGCCAAACTCTACAAAAAGTTGATCCGCGACGTGACAGAGACCGTCCCCACAAACGACAATGTCATCGAAACAGCTCAATGCAGAATGCTGACAGCAGCCTACCACGACGACCTTTCGGCCCGTCATATGGCATACCGCTCCTGGTACGGAAAGAAGACCATCAAGAAATCCGACGACGTCGTGATCGCACAGCTTTCTACCGATATCATGGACCGTCTGGAGACCATCATTCGCAACGCCACCGACCCCATCTCTATCATCTTCTACAATACAATGAAGGGCGAATACTACCACCACATGGCTGAGTACCTGACCGACCACGACGAGAGAAAGAAAGCAATGTACCAAGACCAGGCCTTGTTTAACTTCATGACCGCCAAGGAATCTGCAACATCCTCCGGCATGAGCGTCAACGACCCGATCTACCTTGAACTACACATCAGCCTTGCCAAACTTTACCACCTTATGAGGCTGTATCGTTCTGCGCGCTTGACCAACAGCTTGGCTTACTCCGCCGCATGCAAATGTAAGGATCAGCTGGATGAGGAGGGCTGCAAGCTGTCGGCGGCCATTATTGAGCGTATGCGAATAATGAATAATCGCTGGATTGATTATATGATCACGGATTTGCAGTACTGAAATGACCTTGCATACGTTGCATCTTACGGCTCTTCGAACGAAGTGTGCTACTGTGTTTTCGTTCCCTGACCTTCGTCCGATACTGGATGCTGTCGGATGTTAGTACACAAACCAACATTGATTAAATATTAAATTTCTGCTACCTCTTCAAACCTATTGTCCAGTGAGTGCTTTTTTCTGCCCCTGGAAAAATCGCAACGCTACATGTGTGCAAGATATTTAATCCCACTTGCTGTAGGATAAAAGTGCTGCACTACTCTGGAAAGACTACTGACTACTGTAGCGACTTGTGCATTTCTTAAGATTGTAGAGTAGGATAGGACTAATTGGTTTTGCTTCCTCTCCGTCAACTTTTTTTTCTTTCGCGTCCCGCAGAACGCTCTTTGTCTTCACTACTTTTTCCGCCGACCTTTGCATCGCTTTGTACAGTGCAGTACAGTACACCCCTCTCCCTTCACCAAACCCACTGACCCGGTAATAGGTAACATAATGAATCCCTCCCCTCTTTACTCCCCTCCACTCTTTTCGTCTTCAACAACTGACACGAGCATTGATAGATTACTCTAAAACAAACAAAGGTTTTCGTACCTGGCCTATGACCACAGTTTCTTCACTCGCAACGGACAAACTGATGTAAGGGTTTGACTTGTTGTTAGCCTTTGTTCAGTCTTTTTTTTTTTTTTTTTTTTTTTTTGGGTTACCATGTCAGCGCGTCCATTTCTCTTTGCGCTCTTTGTTCTGTGGATGCTTTGTGGTTGATTGGTGTATTTATGTGATACATGCCAAGAAAAAAAAATTCAGGGGTCGGGGTTGTGCAGATCAACATTTCACGGAAATGTTTCTTTGACACCCTTCATACCTTGGAAAGGGAAAAGGGAGGGGGGGAATGCGAGCAGACGACCTTGCTCTTTCATCGACTTGCCCTCGCAACAAACCCTTTCACACACAAAGTTGGTCCAATCGCTATCCATAGAATAGTAAGAAGATCCTGCAGTAGATCTTCGCTGGAATTGAAGTGTGGTTCATCGTCAAAGACAAAGAGCGTCGCTCAGCCGAGACGAACGATAGATAGAAGACACGTCCCTAGATGTCTAGTTCCTTATAGTTCTATATCAAGTTTTACTCGATGCTAATACACATACCCCTCCCTCAAATAAATTATCTACAAGCAATCACAGCACCTCCTCCCACCATGTTCAACGAAGCCGGCTCAACTCAGCCTCCTCCCGGAACTTGGCCTCCACAGCATTGACCTTATCCTGTCCATAGACCTCAACCAGGTCCGCATTTGCCGCCAACTTGACATGTTTCTCCAACTCGGACTTTGTCAACACCACAACATTCTGCAACGAAAGAGGCTGATCCCGTCTCCACCGGCAGAGTCCAATCTTCTCCATGCTCCCTGAGAGTGCACTCTTGCCTCTAAAGATCTCCTCGATCACATATCCAACATCCCTCCTGTCCAACGCAATGGTTTCAATCCCCTTATCCAGTCTACTCTCCCTCACTTTCAATTCCCGCTGCACACGGACATATAGTCCCTCACGACACTTGATCGGTAATGGTTCCATGGGCCAGCCTGCAATCTTGCAGCTAATAAAGGTCGCCATCGCCATTCCAAACATGGCAGGGAGAGGTCCGAGGACAGGCAGGATACGAGATCGGAAATCAGGGAGGGCTGAATATTCGTCTGCCTCCTGTGCTTGTGTCTCATCCAGAGGGAGGAGTTTGACGTGGTGGGGCTTCTCGGTCGAGTAGACGACTTCAATTCCTGTATCAACTCCCATTTTCTTGATCTTCCTGCGCACAGCTCTTGCCAATGGATCCTCTATGAAAAGGATGAAATATCGTTAGAGTGTTAATAAGAAAGACACATATTTGATTCGCAACGGTATATTGAACGCTATGCATGGGGATATGCATGAATGTTGTCGCTGCATTACCGAAGGTCTCGGAGATGTCGCTGATCTGAACACGCGATGGGTCGGCCTTGGCTCCTGCTCCCATAGAGCTCATAACAGGGATCTTGTGGTCATAGCAGAACTTAAGCAGTGCCAGCTTGGTGTTGATATTATCGATCGCGTCCACCACATAGTCCGGGTTGCCTAGATGAAAATGGGTGAACAAATAATGCGAGTCAGTCACTCAGGGTGCTTACAATATTGATATGCCACGCCAAGGGTGTCAAAACATGCGAAAAATCATCCTTACCTGAGAGCAACACCTCGGCACTGTCTTCCTGGAATAGTTCGACACGAGCATCAACCTCGACCCAAGGGGCGATGGATCTGAAAGCCTTCTTCATCGCCGTGACTTTGGGTGTTCCAACATCAGCCTGGACAGCGGTTGCGTGTCGGTTCAGCGACGACAGTGACACTTGATCAAAATCAATAATCCTGATCTTGCCCACGCCACTCCTGACCAACATACTCGCTGCCCAACTTCCGACACCACCTAAAAGTGTAATAACAGTGATTAGGGGATGCAATTGAGATATAATTTGTCCCACACGACAGAACATAGTAACCGTGAGTGAATCCTTACCGGCTCCCACAATGACGACAAAGGACTTGCGGAGCTTCTCAACACCTTCCTCTCCCATGAACGCAATATTTCTCGCCAACTGTTCCCTCACAAGCTCCTCATCTATCTGCAACCCGCCATCCAGAAACAACGATCCTCCTCCCGCTCCTCCCGCTCCTCCTTGTTGCGGCAATGATGACAATCCTGGTAGTGTAGTAGGTGCAGTTCCAGTATAATTATTATTATTAACCAGATCCGAATGGGCGTCAAATGCGGGTGGTGGGGGGAAGGATTTGCGGATATCGTCCTTGAGCTGGCGGACGCGTCGTTTGCGTTGAGATCCTTGGATGGAGAGGATGAGAGTTGCGGTGGTAAAGGAGGCAGCGAGGGCGACAGCGGTAAATTTTGCGGCCTGGGAGTTCAATCCCGCGGCTGCTCCTGTGGTCGAGACGCGGTCGAGGAAGGAGGATATGGCCGACATGGTCTGTGTTGGGCGGACGTGTGTTGATAATAACGAAAATAATAGGGTGTCGTCCGTGTAAGTGGTTCGTTTAGTCAGAGTGTTTGCTGTATTGTCGTTTGTATAGGTTGATTTTTTTTGACAATAGTCCTCCTGTTGTTTCCGTGCTCCACTGCGGCTGGCAACAATAGTCTTGAGGTCTTGGTACAGTCGAAAGTCTGCCTTCGTGACAATGGACGAGTCGAGACGAGGGAGATGCGCAAAGATAAATGAGTGAAAGTGCCCGTCTGCAAGCACTTTTCTCAAGAAATTGAAATGGATTTCGCAGTCACGAATAATGAATCGGCGGTAAACAAAACTCCCAGTCACTTGAACAAGCACCCTTTGCTGCATTGACACCTCCGCTACTTCAGTTTCTCCTCTTCCATTAACCACAACACACACACACACACACACACACATATACATAATGTCTGTCTCCCGTCTGGCATCAAGGCTCTCAAGCCTCGGCTTATACCCCGCCAACACCACCCAATCGACCCTCCTCCTCCGTTCTTCAACAAACACCATCGCTCGCACTTACTCCACTCCTGCAGCCACCTCCACCCCTTCCTCTATTGATCTCTCCAACCTTAACGACAACCCTGGATCGAAATCCCAGGTACCTACACACTCACCTTCTGCATCCCGGACACCAGCACTGCGGCATGCTTTGCGGGCCGGAGGAATTGAATTGCACGGAATGTAGAACAGGAAGCACAAAGGGACACAGGATACCCGGAGAAATGGGAATTCGTCCTGTCCCTGAAAAATCAAATCGAGATAATAATACTCACAGGTTTACCACCATCCTCCTCCCTCCTCAACCCATCAATAAACAACAAACAGCGTCTCCGTGTCGGTCGTGGTCAGGGTTCAGGAAAGGGTCACACTGCCGCCCGCGGTCACAAGGGTCAGAAGGCCCGCTCCGGAAACGGCGGTCAGCCCAAGCCCGGCTTCGAGGGTGGTCAGACCCGTATCATCGACAGACTTCCTAAGCGCGGCTTCAAGAACCCGTACGTCCATCGGATCTCCCCCCCCCCCCCCCCCCACCCCTTTTTTTTCCCCCGCGACACCGTGTGTAATGTTTACTATTTCTTTTCTAGTATGCTAATGGCTTTCGCTTTGATATTGTACAAAAATGATAGTGAGCACAAGGATTACCAGCCTTTGAACTTGGATCGCCTTCAATTCTGGATCGAGTCAGGTCGTATCGACGCTACACAGACCATCACCATGAAGCAGCTCCTTGACTCACGGTGCATCCACAACGTCGAGGACGGCGTCAAGCTCTTGGGTGACGTAAGTTTCCTACTTCAACCCGGTGCAGGACATCTATGTGGACTACAGATCAGGAAAATGACCCCGGGGCCTTTTCACGTTGACTCAGTAATCTGTGAACAAACCAGATCAGGACGCTTACCATCATATACACGTCTATACGCATACACTACCTAACAATAGGGCAAGGCTGACTTCAAGACCCCCATCAACATTGAGGTTTCGAGGGCCTCGAAATCGGCCATCAAGGCGGTCGAAGCCTGTGGCGGAAAGATCACAAGCGTCTACTACAACAAGTTGGGTCTCCGCGTCCTCACAAAGCCCGAGAAATTTGAGGAGATCCCTCGTTTCGCTCGCCCCATGAAGAAGAAGGACATTGCCTTCTACTCGGACGAGGCAAATCGCGGATACTTGGCTGGCAAGACTGAAATTGTTGGCATGGATCATTAAGGGATACTTTGTTGGTTATGACAGAGAGGAGATTGGCAGAGGGTGAGGTGTTTTAGATACTAGACGTGGATGAGGGTATTTTTTTTGCAGCATAACAACATACACACGCACACCATTTTACATTAAAATAACAAATGAACAGCATGAAACCATTGCAAGGACAATGTGTGTATTAATTTGAATGTCCTAAAAATCGGCACCCTCGAGTGCAAGGGCTTTCAGGGTCATGGAGACTTCATAGTACTCATCCACGACCTCAGGCACGACCACTGTTGTGGGTGTGGACGCCGGTGAATTCTTGGTGCCAGATGTCCGCTCCTGGGTGTTGTTGCTGGAGCCCGTATTCGTCGAATTGGTGTTGGTTTCCTTTGTCGTCGAATCGGATTCCTTTCCTGTAGCTGTACCCGAGTTCTGATCCCTGTCGCTTTGCTCATGTGTGATAGAGATGAGAGCAGACTTTGGTTGTTGTCCGTTTGCATCAAACCCTCCTGCGCCGACTCCGCTAGAACCCTCAGCGCCCACCGCAGTAGCGTTCGTTCGAGCACCCAGTCCAGAACTCTCTGTCAGACCATGATCACCCCCTCCAACCGCCCCAGCCGCTCCGCCTCTTACTATTGATCCCTGGGTTCCAACAAGCCCCCGCTTGCCTCGCACCTGCGCCTGCGAAGCTGTAACTGGTGTCGCGATGGAGCTCGGTCTTGGCCCGAAAGCCGACTGTTCCTGCAAGTCGGTCCGGATGTTGCTCTTGCTGACTCCTGGACGGTCTCTGGATGCTCCCTTTGCAGACGACCGACTAGCATGGTTCATAAGTCCCGATCCAGATGCTGGCGCCGCTGATGCCACAGCATTGCTATTATTGCTGCCTCTTGCACCTCCAGCGCTTGTTATCGTAGACCCAGTAGATCCGAGACTGGATATACTGTTCCCACTAGAACTATTAACAAGCTGTCCACCACTTCCACCCAATTGTTGGCTATTATCGCCCTGACCCGGGAACACGACTGCAGTACCGCCATGCTGTGACCCCGACATGCTGGATGATGGAGACGACGTCGAGTTAAAATTTCCTGCTCCTGCTCCAGTTCCAGTTCCTCCTTGTGAGCTCGACGATGCTGATCCTGCTCCTGCTTCAGAGGGCGGGATCGTAAAGTTGAGTTTCAAGGTCGGATGCTTCTTGAACGTGATCTGGCCCTCCCACAGCCACAGCGGGATCGGTTTCGAGATCTCGATTTCTGAACCAAACTTTTCCACGAATACTGACTCCTCTGAACTAATGACGCCTCCACGCAGGAACCTAATAAAGTCAGCAAGGGAAAAAGAAGAAGGATTGTCAGTTAGGTGGGCAATTAAGTGATTTCTGTTGTATAAACCTTGCGTCCTAACTGGCGTGAAATCAACCCTACCGAAGGAACTCGCCCATGGCGGAGGAAATGTTCCATGTCTGAAGTTTGCGGAGACAGCAGACCACAAGTCCTGTCACAACGGCTCCATCCAGGCAGTGAACATAGATGGGCAAGTTATCCGGATCGATTATAATCTACGCATCAAGAAAACCGCCAAAGACAATGTAATATCCTTATTAGTTTTAGGACCGATTGATTTGCAGAGCACCACACACCAGTAGACAACGCCACCGTTATGACCATGCCCTGAAATACTGGCGCTTAGGCTTTAGTATCTCGCATACCTGAACAGCCTCAACAGCTCGGTTATACGTCAGGGGCACATTATCCTTGACCTTGTCGACCGAGAGGTGAATAGGTAGAATCCTTTGTTCCCGACAGAACTCCTGAAACACCTCGTCTGGTTCATCCGGGACCAGCGATAATATCGTCTTCAGCTTCAGACTATCAAGAACAACATGACAATAATAAGATATCTTAGTTCATCCTGTCTCGTGCATGCAGAAGTTGCCCCTCTTCTTCCTGACAAGGTGATAGCATGTCGTTGTCCTGAAGTGTAGGAATGTACACAAATGGGGGTGTGACGTACCGTTTGAGGTAACGGAGATTGCGTTGCTTGGGGTATGCGCCGCGGTAGACTTCTGGTTCGACGGTTCCGAATCGGAATGGGGGGATGAGCGGTGCAGGTAACCAGGATGCAGACATGGTTAGTTCGACGGGATAGCGTGAAAAAAAGAAGAGGTTCATGAACACCAGGAGGATGGAGGCTCTTATCAAAAGTTAAAAGCTGCACGTGACTGGTTAGAAATTGACCCGAACAAAACGCGAAGAATTTGTGTGCACGATAAGCACGTACACGAGCTTGCTTCCCCTTCCTTGCGCCTCGTTGCAAGTCCTTTCATATGTCCCAGAGAAAGGGTCTTTATTTTGTTGACGAGAATTGAACTTGAAAGAAAAAAGGGGATCGAAGGAGAGATAGTTGATCGAAACAAGGACTCAAGGAAGCAAATCTATGAAATGGGTCCACCTGTCTGCAGTGTTGCATTGATAGGGAAGTGGAGGGGGAACTGCGTGAGGAACAAAAGGAAGAAAGAGTAAGAAGTAAGAAGAAGGGACAAAAGGGTACTGCTCAGACGCGGGGAGAGGATCAACCGCATGCTTACCTCCAAGGGAAGAACGCATGCTCTTCCTCCACTCCCTGGTAGTGTCGAGAATGTTCTCAAAGTCAAGACGACTGGGGTTATGCAACTCCTCAGACTTGCCATACCAAACACCCTTATCCTCCAGATCCCATTCCTTGTTGTGATCGAGAAAAATCCCCGCATGTTCATGGGTCGCCTTAATTTTAATTCGATTGGATGCGAAGAAAAGTATGGTGATGAACTATGGTGCTCACATGCATCAGTACCGTGCGCACATGGGCTCAAGGGTAAAATCCATGACTTCCCTTGCTCCTGCTCGATTCTCTTTTTTTTTCATTCTCAACACGAACTCGTCCTCCATTTATCTCACGCTTACCCGAAACCACCCCTTCTGAAAGTACTGCCAGACAAGCCTTGCATCTATGACTATGTACGTCAAATAAAAAAGGACAATACTAGCATCCGCTGTGGACGCTGAAAAGAAACGGGCAACGCCAAAACCTCTAATGCTATCCAATGAAACCCGATAAACAAGTCAGTCGAGGGGGACCCTTCGAATATGAAAATCGCTGCTTGCTCTCATCATCAATCCAATAGGAAAATAACAATGAGTAAACCGACCCATATCTTTCCTAAGCATTAAACCAAAGCGTACTTCATCCATTTGTACCAGAATAGAGTATCAAGAATCGATGGCACGACCAATCAGTAATGTATACAAAAAGATTGCACAATAGGGAAAACACACCATAGCCAGTGCAACCGACTGCGGGAAAGAAGTTATTCTCATACAGAAACACCATTCTACGTGATAAAACGAACTAAAAACAGCAGCGCCACACAGGCTTATGTCAAGCGAACATCGTCTCCACCTTCCACTCATCAAGTCATCAAGCCTCACATTGATTTCATTCGCCCATCTTATCGCGCATTATCAGACTGAAAAATGGCCATCGTAACTATGCTCAACCCCATGGCCTATCCGTAGTGACCTCCCTCCCAGTGCAAAAAAGCTATAGAATCCTTTTCGTGGATCCTTGCTAAACAAAACGCGAAACCCAACAAGAAAAGGCGCCTGTCTTTGTGTACCAATGGCGTCAAATACGGACATTCAACACAGCCATCGCTGTTCTTGTAAACAGGCCTACACAAAAAGGGAGTAGAGGAGAACAAAAAAACAATAAGGACGATCTCCAACACTGGTCTTGATGCAGAAATAAAGGACCCAATACTATTGAAAATGAAGCACCGACCACAATGTGAGAATAGCACCCTGCCCACGATGAATTGATCTTGACTATTAGAATTGCAAACACCGAAAAAAAAAGGCCCCGTAGTAGAACCCAGTCTCGTTCAAACCGCTTAGTAAAGTGTTAATAATTGCCGCAGAGCATATCACTTGATACCCTTGACCATAAAAAAAAAGGAAGCGTGAGCATCTCGAGTGTGCCTAGAACGAATGATGACAAAACCCACCGTCCTAACAACGCAAGTTTGACAGCGATGGATAGGGATCAGTTGACGGCATCACCGCCAGGGTAAACAAGATGAAGCTAGGCGAAACTGCCGAGCTACCAACTGTGGTGGACATCCAGGTGATCAACTCCAACAACCTCGATCCGAAGAAGATCAAGTTGGATGACGAAGAGGAGAGCGGAGGTGTCTCTCGCGTTGGGCTCGTGTACAAATACAAGAGCGGAGAACGAGGACTTTGTTTTACTTGCATGAAACAATGTCCTCGCCTGACAAAACACCGTTCCAGTGGAAGATAGTGAGCTTGGACGTTCGTGATCTATCAGATAGAGTGAAGGTAAAGCAGAATGAGTGGACGATATGAGCATCTCGCAAAAGCAATGGTGAAACAGTTAACCAACATTATATCAATAGAAAAGACAAGGCGCTGCGCATATCTAACTTATCTGTTCTCATTGAGAGCAAAAAAAAAATGTCGACAGCGATAGTCAAAATGGACAAGTATCGATAAAAAAAGGGCACACTTGTCAGATACATTTATTGGACATCATGTACACAACGAAGACCTTGAAGACATGAACAGTACCGCCTCCTACAGTACCAACACCTATACCAACATCTTCTACTCCGCACCCTAAAACCGCGATCATGCTAATCTCATGCAGATCTATGTTCTTACCAACAGTACCTGTTCAAGTTCGAGAATGGTCGTGCTTATAACTATTCTCTTGTTCATACCTTTTTATATTACGCTTCTTGGATCGACCTTTTCTTAATCGTCTATGCCCACAGATGAATCAGCTCGCCAATCGGCTCACTATTTGTCCTTCTCGATCTTGAAAGTCTCCTACGACCCTTGGCTTAACACCGCTCTCGCAAATGCAGTCGTCTTTGCCTTGTTCCTTGCGCCCTTTCGCACTGTTGCATGGGTATCCATTCGATCGTAACATAGGTACGAACATATTAAAGTGCTCCAATCAATGGATCGACCAAAACGCGATTTCGATGTTTTGACACTGGATCATCGCCGGAATTGAAATGCCTAAAATCTGCTTGATCAATTAAATGGCTCGCATGTAATGGCGAATGATTTCCATGTAAACATTTACATGGGTTTAGCACGGAACAAACTGGGTTTTTTAAAAACCACTATGTCAATACATTTTCTACAGACAAACTGAAAGCAGTTCCATTCTGAGGACGTGGTGTGTGGTCTAGAAAATAGGAAATGTACAAAGCGTTTATGTTATTTACGGAAGATATCGTTAGAGTATGTTTTCTTACATGGATCTAGCACGATTCCACATTTTATCATGATATTGCACTCTACTGAAAATGGCTGGCTTTGCACATCAAACAATTCTAGATCACACACAATGTCCTCAGAATGGAACTGCTTGCAGTTTGACTGTAGAAAATGTATTGATATAGTGGTTTTTAAAAAACCCAGTTTGTTCCGTGCTAAACCCATGTAAATGTTTACATGGAAGTCATTCGCCATTACATGCGAGCCATTTAATTGATCAAGCAGATTTAGGCATTTCAATTCCGGCGATGATCCAGTGTCAAAACATCGAAATCGCGTTTTGGTCGATCCATTGATTGGAGCACTTTAATATGTTCGTACCTATGTTACGATCGAACGTATACCCATGCAACAGTGCGAAAGGGCGCAAGGAACAAGGCAAAGACGACTGCATTTGCGAGAGCGGTGTTAAGCAAAGGGTCGTAGGAGACTTTGTATTTTATTGAGTGGGCTTCAAGAACGAGAAGGACAAATAGTGAGCAGATGGGGCGAGAAGCAAGAAAAGAGAGATAGAGATGGTGCAGTTGGAATTGAACAAGATACTAGCTCGGTGCGATGTAAGCTTACCGGTTCATCTACTGCTGTTGTTGAACTTGCTGCTGTTGTTGAACTTGCCGCTGCTGAACTTGTTGTTAGACTTGCCGCTGTTGCTGGAGTTAGTTCCATTCCTGTTATTGTTGTCTGACATAGTCAAGGAAGCACTCACGGAACCTGGCAAGCTTTCGTTCCTGCTTCCTGTGTCGCCTGTTGCCAATTCTGATCAAGGCTTGATGAAGCTTTTGCTGTGGGTGCCCGGTGACTTGTTAACTATTTCGAGTAAGAATACACAGCAGCTCGAGTGGAGGCGCACTTGGAGAGAGGTGAGAGAGGATGAGAGGAGGGGCTGGAGGTGGAGAAAGATATGATAGCAATGGTGAGGAATGGAAGGAGGTTGTTAGAGAGAGGATGAAGAAGGGCTAGAGGCTGGATCGATGTTTGAAGAAGAGTGGACGAGAACAGAGGAGGAGGAGGAGGAAGAGGCAAAAAAATAAGGTCAGTGGACTCGACAAGGGGATTGTTACGAAAAAGAAAAAGAAAACAAAAGATTACTGAGCGGACGCACCCCCACACTACTGCCATAGTGTTGCGTCCTTAATTGCCCAGATAATGAAGGTTGCACGGACAGGTTTGAACCCGCGGTTGTTCATCCCCGAGGACGCTAAGTAGAACACCTATACTAGACGCGGGCAGTTCTTTTATCGCCGCTCTAACCAATTGAGCCATTGCAACCTCGCTTACTTATCCCTCGGAAAACTCTCAAATTTAAACACTCAACCCTGCATCTTTAAATGCCTCTAGCAACTCCAATCTACAGCCGTCTGCCTTCTTTTTATGACTAGAGCTTTGTCTTGACAAGGCACACATTCTGCACTATGACAAGCCATACACTTTAGTATTGGAAAGGCATACGTTTCCTCGAAGAACTAGTTCCACCCGTTTCTGTTTTTACATTGCGTCCTACAAAATGATCAAGACACCCTTTTTGAATAACAATATGGAGGAGAAAGGGTCTCGGGAAGGCTGCACGATGTATGTCAAGAAAAGGGATCATAGAAGGACAATTCATAGCTGCGTGTAAAAGATGGAGGGTTGACAATAGAAGGCGAAGAGGCTGAGTTGGCAATAGCTAAAATGAAACAAAAAAGAAAGAGTCGGTGTAGGTATGGGAATCGGAGGGTCAAGAAAGAGACAATGAGGTGGGGGGGAGGAAGGAGAATAATGGGGGAACGAAAGAAGGAGAGATA